ATACATGGACAGGCTCAATAAAATACTAAAGACAGAATTGACGGGAAGGAATACAATTACAGCTATTAATACATATGCAGTGCCAGTTTTAACATATTCTTTCGGAATCTTAAAGTGGACAGCTACAGACTTGGATAGACTAAATAGACTCACACGAACTACTTGTAATAAACATAACATACACCACATCCATTCGGCAATAGAACGGTTTAACTTAGGGAGAAGATTAGGAGGGAGGGGCGTAGTCGATATAAAAAATCTTCACAATAAACAGATATACAATATTCGCACATACATACACAGAAAAGCAAATAACAGTCCCTTACACAGAGCTCTCACACTAATATCCACTTCAGGCACACCTTTAAAATTAAATGACAGTAATATGGTTATTGAACAAATTGCCACAGATGAACAAAAAATTAATAATTGGAAACAGAAATCTCTTCATGGAAAATACCCTAATCAACTATATCAAGAATATATAGATAAAGAAGCATCAAACGCATGGCTCAGTAAGGGAAGTATATACAAAGAAACAGAAGGTTTTATGATTGCAATCCAAGATCAAATTATAAACACCAAAAATTATCAGAAGTACATAATTAAGAATCCAGCAGTAGTATCGGATAAATGCAGGTTATGTAACATTAATCAAGAGACAATAGACCACATTACAGGAGGCTGCTCATTTTTGGCAACTAAACAATATACAGAGCGGCATAATAATGTAGCTAAACAAATACATCGAATATTAGCACTAAAATACAAATTATTAGATACAGCAGAACCATATTATAAATATAAACCTTTAAATATACTAGATAACGGACAAGCAAAACTTTATTGGGACCGCGATATAATAACCGATAAAACTATCACCAATAATAGACCAGATATTACTCTAACACTAAAAAGCGAAAAAGTAACATATCTCATAGACATATCCATACCAAATTCTGAAAATATAAGAAAGAAATATACGGAAAAAATACAAAAATACATCCCACTTGCAGATGAAATACGTCAAATGTGGCATCAGCATACGGTTAAAATCGTACCCATCATTGTTTCATCCACAGGACTAGTTCCAAACTCTTTAATGACATCGCTTAAAGAACTAGGTTTACACAAAAATATATACATTCAACTACAGAAATCGGTCATTATCGACACATGCTCAATAGTCCGGCGATTCCTTACATCCACCACTCAAACACCTACAACACTACATAATGAACCGACCCACTTGGCATAGCCCGTGATAGGTTCACACCACCAGCGATGTGCTGAGTTTAAAAAATAATAATAATAATAATGTATTTATTTGCGAAATATAGGTTAGGCATGAGGTGTACAACACAGTAATTTTTATCGCTATATTCTACCCATTTTGTAGGGTGTGCAAATATGATATGTTCGCTTAAAGGTTGTCAGTATACATTCTCAAATTTCTTAATTATTATAATCATAAAATAAAATTGAAAAAATTATATAACAGAATATTAAAATAATATTAAAACATATGTCTATGAAAAAAGTAAGTTAACAAACAGTAATAATAGAACAGAGAACAAAATGACAAATAATTAAATGACTAAAAAATAAAAAAAATTCGATAAAATTGCACATTATTAATTCACTGAATACGTTTAGATTATTAATTTGACATAAATTCGTTTATACTGTAATAACATTTTTCTGTTAGTTAGTTAGTATTATCTATATTATTGTAAAGTTTCATTAAAATCCATTCAGTAGAATTTGCTTGAAAGAGTAACAAACATCCATCCATAAATACAAACTTTCGCGTGTATAATATTAGTAAGGATGAGAATTAAGAAATATTGAATTGTTTATCATTTATTTATTTTTTTAGTTTTATCACAAACTAATTGCAAAAACTTTGCGCATGTCCAGCTTCGTGCAACCGATATTGGCTTACGGTTCATTGTTCCCTGCCTTCGGTGTCCCGTAGACACTGAGCCCAGTGCGCAGTCAAATGCATTTTCAAGACATTTTCCTGTTGTTATCAGAACAACTGCCCAAAGATATGTTTTGCCAATGGCTGAGTATGCTTCTATACCTACCTCAATCACTGGACACAAAACGATACGTACTTGCAGCACAAACCTTCTTTGAAGCCTTGGTAATTTTTTGGCCATGCTAGTCTATTCAGCCTGTTAAAATGTTTATCTGTACGAGCGCTAAACCATCACAGTGAAAGTTTATCTCTTTTTCTACTTCTCTTCATATTTCGAATCGGTTGCACGTACACCTTTTATTCAGTGGTAGACTTCAAAACCCATCTTCATTCCAAAAACAAGCTTCAGTTGTAAGAGAAATATTTTTAGAAACGCTCTTGCTTTGAAACAGCATTCCTTATACTGTACTCGACGCTCGTCGTCGCTTCCCACCCTAAGCGAGCCTAATTAATCATCAACGTCGTGTATGCCTTGCGTGGGCTACCATAGCGATCAAACCAGTTATATACTACTACGTGACATATTAGTAGGAAAAAGTCGATTACTTCCGACAGCGAAATTTCAAGTAGCTTGGAGTCCAGCAACTATAGGGTCCCATGTATGCAAATATGTTTGAGATGAGATCAAACAAAATTAGCAGTAACTAATAGACATGCATGGTTTTTAGGTATCTAGATCCTCAGTTTGTTATGTATATAGATATAAATAAAAAACAAACTTTAACGTCATTTAACATAAAAAATAAAGCAGTTAATATTCAACAAAGGTTAATAACCATTAACCTACCAAAATGTTAAATGTCTTCGCACCTTCTCAACAATAACCAATACAAGAGCACTGCAGAAATCAAAAATACGGACTTGAACCTACGGACGATTTAAACCCGGGGCGAATACTATTTATACTTCATAAGATCGTTACCAAAATAAGGAAGGAAATATCTTTTTATATAATACACATTCTGGAACTTGTCTTAACAGGACCAATCTTGTATATAAAATACTCGTGTCACAATGTTAGTTACCTTACTCCTCCGAAACGGCTTTACTGATTTTTACCAAATTTTATATGCATATTCAGTAGGTCTGAGAATCGGCTACTATCCTTTTTTCATACCCCTAAGTGATAAGGGTTGTTCACCCTGAACATTTTTTTTCAGTTCCTTTAATTTTTTGACTTTTCCTTAAAGGAAGTCTTTTATTATATATTGTGTTTACCTTTAATTTAAATGCATATATACAATGTTTAAGTGCACCTCATAATAATTGTTTCTATATGTATTTAGTTGGAAAGCCTTGTTAAATAAATAAATAAATTTTTGGACAAAATTTTTCGTATTTATTTTTCTATAATGTGTCGTTAAAAAATACATACAACCCTAAATTTTCACCCCTCTACGCAGACGTAGTCGCGGGCAGCAGCTAGTAAACGTATAAATTCCTTTACGTAATCAGATTATCATAGGTTTGAATGTTTGATTATATAATTAACATAAACTGGTTGATTGAATGAAAAAAACATACTAATGGCAGTGTTGCTAAAAATATATTCTCACGATACACATAATTCAGTTCTTACACTTGCTAATTGGTTGCAGGAAGGTATAATTTACCCCAATAGATCATCAAATTCATTTAACGGAGACTCCTAATTAATAACAATAAAATTTCCAAATGTGAAAAACATGAAATTCGATATAAAGGAATTAGTAATAAGTATTTATCGTAACTATCACTTCAAAAAACTTTATTTTCTCTCATACAGCGTGTCGTTACCACCGCGACAATAAATGAACACACATATAGAGGATAACTTTTAAAATTGTATTAAACATTTACATTCTTTAAACATCAATATTTACAGTTATTAAATTTTCCAAAACAAACAATTTTAGAACACCTTACTAAACTATAACGTAAAGTTCGTTTGTAAAGGTCACAAAACATATGAATGGGTTGAATGAATTTAAACAAAACATACTGTTAGAAGGAGAGGCTTGTAATGCGACGCTGTGGCACGAGTTATATAGGGTGTTACAAATTTTGTTTCTTTTTTACTTAATTAGTTTGTTTGAAAAATATTTTTTTTAATTACGGATTTTGTTTAACGTTAATATTTTTTTATGATTATTGGCAAGTAGCGTTAGACGTGTGTTCATTTATTGTCGCGATGGTAACGACACGCTGTATATGAACCAATTGGTAAGCCTTTTCTCTTACCTTTTTATAGATATAACCACGCCTGTGTCGATATATTACATTTGATGACTCCGTGGCCAGGCGCACTTGCCAAGGTATTGGCTTCGGCGTCGGGGGTCGTGGGTTCGATTACCGCACGGGACAACTATTTGTGTGGCCCACAGATAGCCACAGATATATCTGTGTGTTTGTCCGCGTAAAATTTATGTTTGTAAATTACCCTTACAACACAGGATAATGTTATCTTAAAGTAAGGGCAATGTTGAAAAAAGAAAAGAAACAAAGAAACAAAAAAAGATATCATCCAGCCATATGACCGCGTTTTAAAGATAGTTACGGTGTTCCCTAAGCCCTAAGTCACAGTACCGTTAATTAAAAATTTCGCAACTAATAGGTTTATAAATGCTCAAATAAAATTCGAACTTATGCGTAAATACTATTGTTGAATATTTTTGACGACACAGGGGCAGTATATCAATATATAAGTGTATCATCGATGGCAGTATCTGTAAGGCGATGCTAACATTACACAATTATTACGCAATGAATTCAAAGGTGATTGAACTGTCTGTGTCAGGTCTAAATTATGTAAAAGTAGCAATTCTCAATGATTGCAATCTACCACCGAAACTACAAATTATTATTCAATTCATTCAACGATATTACAATCACAGGAAATTGTTTCCTTTCATAATTAAGGAGAGAATAAATAGACACCATATTTAAAAATGAGAACTGAATCAATAATTTTTATTTCTTATAACATAATTAAAGTCAATTCTAGTATTTTATTTATTTATTCCGACAAGATCTATTAAAAACTCATATTAGAGGGCATCGACGAGACGTCTTCCGAAGGGCTCTGGCTCGAACTGAATGAGCTAAGAGTTTCCCTCGTCTCTTCTTTTATCTTCAAGTGATCCGTGCTAGAGGGCGGCCTCGGCGGAAGCGATTTGTCCTTTTCTTTTAAAGATTTGTCCTTGCTGCTGTGCTTATGTTTGTGCTTGTGTTTGTGCTTCTTCTTCTCCTTCTTCTTCTTCTTAGCCTGATACCAGAAAATTAATTGAAAACTTTTTTGCTTTACTATAATGTTAACATTGTTTGAGGAATTCATCGTTTTTAAAATAAGAGAAATGTCGAATGTTTTAAGGTTAATACTCTTCTCAGCCTCTATAATCCAAATTTTAGCATTTGACTTGTTTTGAAAATTGCAATTTAAATTGTTTAAGAGCTTAATGTAAACTTTGGAGTGACCATTGACATTAGTCATGCAAAAAGAATGAGTTATGTAGATGCGAAGGTTTATAGTGCGGGTAGACCATATGGCGGTGATTACCTTTGGTGCTCCTAAATCGTCCTTGTCGTTCTTGAACATGCCTGGCTCGAAACCAATTGGTCCAGACGAGCCCGGGATGCCGGGCAAGGCGACGGCGTTGTCACAGTTGAATTCGCGTTTATTGTCGTCCTGCAAATCGTATATCATGTTAAATGAAATTTTATTTTTTTCTTACAAACACAAACAAAAATTAAAATTAAGCCTAAAATTGAACTTGTTATCATAATATTTAATTTGATCCAATTTGACTTTAGACATACGTATTACTCTAAAAAATTTAAATTTTTTTATATAATTTTTGGTCATCCTATATTTACGTTATAAACAGGAACTCGAATTACCGTACATTTAGAGCGTTATATATACAAAAGCAGGACTTCACTTACACTGTACACCCTTATTGGCATTTCGCTGACCGACACCACGTCAATTTTCACATCCTCCTCCTTGATGCTGGACAAAGGCACTGGGAGGACCTCGTCGCCAATGGATTCGGTCGGATTCGCGGTACTGGCTGGTGCCAAGGGCATTGGCTCGTCCAGAGGACCAACGCCCAACTCTAGTTTTATCTGCGTCTGCGTTTAAATTATTAAACTAAAATATACAGCCTATTTCTACTACTCAGCAAATCTCTCCTCTGTATACAGCGTGTCGTTACCATCGCGACAATAAATGAACACACGTCTAACGCTACTTGCCAATAATCATAAAAAAATATTAACGTTAAACAAAATCCATAATTAAAAAAAAATATTTTTCAAACAAACTAATTAAGTAAAAAAGAAACAAAATTTGTAACATCCTATACAACTCGCGCCACAGCGTCGCATTACAAGCCTCTCCTTCTAACAGTGTGTTTTGTCTCTTTTAAATTCATTCAACCCATTCATAATGCTTTGTGACCTTTACAAATGAACTTTACGTTACGCTTTTATAGGTAAGGCTGTTCTAAAATTCTTTGTTTTGGAAAATGTAAGTACTCTGTAAATGTTGATGTTTAAAGAATTTAAATGTTTAATACAACTTTAAAAAGTTATCCCCTATATGTGTGTTCATTTATTGTCGCGATGGTAACGACACGCTGTATAGCGTATGAGTGCATAGTCCTCCACGCGATCCCATTACAGATTGGCACGTCTTAGAAATATTTTTGATGTTATACTTCTTTAGGCTCATTATGGAAGAATGATGAGAGTGAAATTTTAATATATAACACAAAAGTCACACCTTTGAAGCTGCCCGCTAAACCGCTAGATGGCAGCATATTCTCAATCAGTTACAAATCGTTACTTTTGAACATTAGTATACATAAGTGCATTATCTATATAAACTCGAGTTCACTGTTTTGCCAAGATCAGTTTTTGAAACGATGTTTTGATTTTATTCTTCAACTTGCTTTTGTTATGTTACGCCAAAGAAGTATAACTTATTACGTGCGTACATAAATCCACACATAATTTGAGAACGTAATGAGTCAGCACTTAAAATTCCAATCAACAATTTAATTGGTGCCGGCACCGGGCCTTGAACTGAAGTTGCTCAATTTTATTGAATTACAAATGACCACGCAGACCCTGGGGTATCACGGATATAATATAAGGATTAGCATATCATTTCACAGGCATGATGAGGATTTTACGATGAAAGGTCGTTTACAAAGTATTATCGGGAATTTAAATTAACATTTTTCTGACTTGTATTAATAAGTGAAATTCAAGGATTTTAAAGAAATATTACTTATCAGAAGGAAAGAATACGATCTAACATAGATTTAATGTTTTAAAAGATTTTAATTCTAATGAAATCGACATATTTTCCAAAATGATGGTTAAAAATTTAACTGCATTTAAATAATCATATAAATAATCGAGAAAATGCTAATCCAATGGAAAGTTATGCATCCTGCCACATGGTTAACAGCAAAGGCGATTAAATTACTATGATAACCTACATAGCAAGGGTTGTTTATAGCGTGATCGTCTTCGCATAATATGATCGCGTGTTCAGCTTGCAATTTGTTTCCTTCTTGACATAACGTCAAATGCGATAAATTTTTGTGATTAATGAAATTTCTCTACCGCGTCATTAGCCAGTATTGCAATTCGGCGATAACATCAATTTTTGAAATTAAACATTGTTTCGTAATACCGAAAGTAATTATGGAAAAAAGTTTTTATATTCTGTTAGGTTTTCTGTAACTAAATGTTTAATAACCTTTGATTATTCATTTTAGCTTATTATTCACTGTTCAGAATTTAAACAGAAATTCCTGAAGGAAGAAGAGCTTCCACAGTAGGAATAGACAGGCATATCCGGTACAGCGCGGTGTCAGAAAACCAGGGTAGGTTATAAGTATTATAGTTTCGCATTGCATCTTATGTGAGGTAACCGGGGCCCAACTTTCTTTTATAAGTTAGCAGTTAGCAACGCATCTTCAACCCCAAAGCTTTGCGGTTTGTTGTTAATACGGTGATAGGGCCACGCAGCAGCCTCGGCTGTTGCACGAATGGGCAGGCTCGTCCGGGTAAGTACCGCGACCTCACGGATGACCGGCGTAAAGTATAATACTTTCGCGTTTCGTCTGGTGAGTGAGGTGGCCGGAGCCCAATTTCCAAAAGGTTGTCAACACATCTGGAACCCTTGAGTGTGGCAGATGTCCATGGGCGGCGGTATTCACTTAACATCAGGTGAATATAGAGTTTCTAATTCTCTTAATAGTGAAACTGGAAATTTAACCTATCATAGATAAGTCTATCCATCTACTGGTGATAGAGCAGAGCCAGCACGCTGTATCGATATATTATGTATATAAATACGAATTAATCAAAAATGCGAAATACACATAGAACTTTGCTTTGTTTCCAAAACATTGCCATTACTTTAGCCAGTACTTTACTAATATTGTCCTGTGTTGTAATGAAGTGTTCGGGTTCTGTGGGTCACACAAATAGTTGTCCCGTGTGGGAATCGAACCCACGACCCCTGACGCCGAAGCCAATATCTTTACAACTGCGCCATGGAGTCATCGCTATTACTATAGACGTTCGTGGAATATAAAATGAGACACTTCCAATGACTGCAAGATAAGCTTAGTTCTGAACGAGTTCTCTCGCATAAATTAACAAGCATTAAAAAGCCTATGCGCCACACGTGTTAAAAAACTTAACGGCCCGCGTTACATAATACTTACATCATCCACTTCTTGCTTGATCACCGGCTTCGACTCCAATTCTCTCAATCTCTCCCTTTCCCGCTCCCGTTCTCGTTCTCTTTCTCTTTCTCTTTCCCTTTCCAATCTCTCTCTCTCCTTGTGGTGCATCTGTTTCATCATAGCTTGTATCTCCACTATGGGCACGCATATCGGCCTCTTTAATCCGTACAGCGTGAAATATAGATCCACCAGATCGCAACGCAATCTTGCATCGTTCGACAGATGACTATTTATGTTATTCCAGAGTCTACAACAGAACACAATAAATTTTTACACAGTCTGAAAGCATTTTGGAACAAACTTAAATTTCACCAAAGGTGGTAAGTTAGGTAGAGAGTGCATTTATTTATTATGTCACAAACAACCACACAAGTAAATAGATTACCAACTACCTAATCGATTATACACATTTCCTGCAAGAAAGTTGTTTCTTTTTCGAGTGTATTTATAAATGTGTTTGAAACTATGACTAACAGTCTGTACCATAAACGACTTGATGGAATAGATACATAATGGTTAAATTCGACTTGATCTTTGTTCAAATAAATTAAACGTGAATAATCTTACGGTAGCCTCTCATCGTATGACCTTCGATGAAAGAAACATAAATCGAAACTTAGGTAACAATAATTTTAAGGTGTCACGACCTCGAGCTCTACCACGTACGACAGCAACAACAAACCTTTTACCAAAAAACAACCTATACACGAAAAACAAGTCGCCGCGCCGCAGAGATACTTTGACCAGACGGCATTGTATTGGAACATTTTTACTTATAAAGGTTCGTGTTTTTTTTAATCATGTAGCAAAAACAAAAATTAAAAAAAAACTGCTTTCAAAACAATCTCAATAAAAATATAAAAAAGAGAAGCATTACATTGCGAAGCAAGATGGATTGAACTAACTGTAGTTCTGGTTTTGCATATCATCCATCAAGTTTTAATTTTAAAGTTATTTTTAAACATTGTGCATCGTAATGTACGTATTAATTTTAACTGACACTATGGTTTATGAGGTTCATAAGCGCTTGACAGAACCGGCTGTTGGGATGTTCATAAATGTGTTAGTTTCTTTTTTATTCTTGTTAAGAAAACCTAACGAAATAGCACCATTGGCCGGATATTGTATTATCAAAACGAGGATGGAAGAGATTCTTTACATACTTAATAATTTGTACATATCATTAAGTATGCTAAATAACATATTATTAAATATTTATTTACATTGACTAGTGTCAGTGACAGCTACAAGGGCTAAAACAGGAACTGTTTAATTTAATTCTGATTATTTATTCCAAACATGTTATTGAAGATCAAAGCCAATGTCATAAAACTAAATATTTGTCTTCATTATGTCCGTAAATATGTTAGGTTACAAATTATCATTTTGTGTGTTGTTTATTATTATAAAAGAGGCAAAAACCTTAGTTTTCATCTAAACTAGAGGCAGATTTGTTGGATTGACGGCAAACCGATTTATTTTAGAAATATTAGATGATCATATCATTTTACGCGAGCTATAAAATTTGACATATCATGTTTTTCTTATTAGTAATATTTAAATTATTCGTTATTATCTATTTTATCTATTACCCTAGACCATCGAGCTATACTATTTGATTAACATGAAATTAATAGCATATAATTAGGTTACGTTAATATCCATTATTGTCACTTAAAGAATACAAAATGTAGTGACTTTATTCGATGATTTTCGATCGATCTAATTAATTTCTTTATTTTTTATGTTTATTAAAGCGGGCAGCTACAGCTGAGGCTTACCTAGTTCGATCCCATTGGACACTGTTGTTCTATTAACTTTTGTTATGACCATAAATATATTTTTTTATATTACCTAAAGACCTTGTCACACAGTAACATTGCTTTAGCTTCAAAGTTTAACATTTTTGTTACGTTTAGATTCATCATGATTTCTGCAATTTATTGAACTTTATATTTATGCGATATTCTCAAAAAATTGCGAAAGCACAATCCTATAAAAAGTGGGGGCAAATAATACTGCATAATCAATAAAAAATACATCCACAGAATGGACAAATACGTATTTTAATAAAATAAGCAGTTAAAATTCAAATATTATGTAGTGCGTCAACGGTCCATCAACCGCGCGGTTATATGGGCCGAATCGCGTCTACTTGACTCCCTACAAATTCTTTAACTCCTAGTGCTTGTTGCCAACACTCCATCTGTAAGGCTTGACCATATAGTTACGAGCAACTCTTTGCCTGGTGTTTCGCGTTCTCCTGCGGTGTGCTTTCGGTGCCATTTTCATGCTAATTCTTTTAGCGCCGTAAAATTTCCCGCAGAGGTAACCATAACGCAAGCCCTCATAAAGCGGACGCAACCGTAGCCGTGCCGGTCCACGTTAAGTCCACAGTCGAACAAGGGAAGGTTAAAACTCCCATGGCCATTATCACAAACAGACCCCATCCGAAAACTCCAGTGAACAGTTAAAAGAGAGCGTGAAAAAGAAGTTAAGAGAATGAAGAAGATAAAAGAGTTAAAAGAGTGGCCTGTGTCGGTCCCAACTTTCGTCAAACTATCACGCAGCTCCTCATAAAACGGACGCGATCATAACACACGGTGCCGTTCCTCATTCAGTCCACAGGCACAAGTGTTGTCTCACCCAAACGCATCTCGTGCAACCCCTTCCGAAAGTTCCCGTGACCAGTGAAATGGGCGCGCGAGATCTCACCTGTGCACGACCGCCTCCGTGTCCAGCCGGTGTCTCTGTGGTCTTCATCCAAGCGCATATCGTGTAACCCCTTCCAAAAACTCCCAAAGGTACTGTCTCACCCAAACGCATCTCGTGTAACCCCTTCCCGTGCCCAGTTGAAAGTCTCACCTGTGCACGACCGCCTTCATGTCCAGCCGATGGCACTGTGGTCTTCACCCAAACGCATATCGTGCAACCCCTTCCAAAAACTTCCATGACCACTGTCTCATCCAAACGCATCTCGTGTAACCCCTTCCCGTGCCCAGTTGAGTCCCATCTGTGCACGACCGCCTCCGTATCCAGCCGGCGCCTCTGTGGTCTTCACCCAAGCGCATCTCGTGCAACCCCTCCCATGGGCGCTGTCTCACCCAAACGCACTTCCCCCCCGTGTAACCCCCTCCCGTGCCCAGTTGAGTCCCACCTGTGCACGACCGCCTCGGTGTCCAGCCGGTGGCGCTGCGCCCGCTCGAAGGGCGGCATGCTGACCAGCAGCCGCGCCAGCCCGTGCCTCACTCCCGGCTCCGGGTCGTTCTCGACCGCGGTGAGGAGCGACGACAGGTCCTCCGGCCTGCCGTCCACCCGCACGAAGTCCACCAGGCACTCGAACGCCGCCAGGCGCACGTCTGACGGTAGAAGCGATACCACTTAGGGACCTTCGCGAGGGCCTAATCCTACCTCGAAATTCGTCAATTGGGACTTCACAAGTTACAAGCGTCCGTGGGAGGCGGTGATCGCTTACCGCTCGCTCGGTGCCTGCTTTTTCACTCGAACGCCGCGAGGCGCACGTCTGACGTTAGAAGCGATACCACTTAGGGACCTTCGCGAGGGCCTAATCCTACCTCGAAAGTCGGCAATTGGGACTTCACAAGTTACAAGCGTCCGTGGGAGGCGGTGATCGCTTACCGCTCGCTCGGTGCTTTTTTCACTCGCGCCGCGAGCCGCAGGGTGCCGATAGCACCGATACGAATTACCGACCTATCCCTATCTACAGATAAATTCACTTGCTAGCGATAGGTATTTGACGTTAGCTCCATAATACTTACGTCAAAATTCTATCTCGAGCAACAAAATCTATCTGTAGACCGAATATAGAATAAAATGCGTGATAAACTAAGCTTTATAATAAAAATGTTTACATAAAGATATAAATATTAAATATTTATTGTACTGTTAATAAAGAAGTGAAAATGATAAAATTGTTGTATTTGATTGCTAAGAACATTACAGATTAATTCGCGTTTAATTTTGAATTTAAATTCAAGGCGATAATCAATCTATTCTCATAGTCATCATCATCGCCATTTCAGCCTGTTTTATTCATCTGAACAAAAGCCTTCTCTTTCAGACTGCCACGAAACACGATCCTGAACCATCAGCATCCATACAATATTTGCGCAAGTTGTTACTCCAATTTTATTAATTATTAAAATTAATTTTATTATTTTTATAAAATTAATTTCATAAAATAAAATGCTATATTATATTACCTATATACTGGCCATATTGCGCGTACGCTCTGAACACTGTGGGAATGCTTGGCAGATGGCCACACTGCTGCAGTCGGCGGATAGCGCGAAGACAGCTGACCGTAACGGTATTTTTATAGCACGGCAACACTTTCTCCAAATTTAGCATTCGCGTAATCTCTTCTAAAATGAGTTTCGTATCCGCTGACAGAGAATCGGCGGTAATAGGTGCCCCCTAAAACATAATATATAAACGTAAATTAGGTAGAGTATAGTCACTATTCAGCTCAGAAATAAAAAAAGACTAGTATATTTATACTGCTTTTAGAATATAATTACGAGCAAAAATTTCCTCGTTTTCGGGGATATTAAAAATCCGATACGGCTTCTTAGCTTTCTTGCTTAGCATGAGCCGTGATAGCTCAGTGTCCGGGCGCTCGCCTTGAATTCAATATACTCCAGCAACCCGAGTTCGATCCCCGGTGCCGGCAGAAATGAAGTTTTCAACTTTAAGTGCTGACTTATCACGTGCTCCGCGGTGAAGGAAAACATCGTGATGAAACCTGCATATTTTCGGAATAAGAACAAAAAAAAATTTTCGAAGATATGTGAAGTCCGCCAATCCGCAGTGGGGCCGCGTGGTGGACTATGCCCCGATACCCTCTGTATAGAGGAGGCCTTTGCCCAGCAGTGGGACATGTATAGGCTGTTACTTTACTTTTACTTTACGGCTTCTTAGCGCTAGACACTTACAGGTTGCAGTACAGATATGACTGGCGTTATGGTCGCAGCCAAAGCGTCTACTAGCGCCGCCCTGTAGTAATTGTCCGAAAAATGATTCTTCGAGTTGTCATTGTACTTGAATAAATCCAGAAGAAACCTCACCACTTCCGGAGGACAAATGCCGTGTATATTTCTCAAGCCTGAAAAAAATATGAAAAATAAAATACGTGCAAACGCCAAAAAATAAACATGGTCATAAGAAAATGTTCAATAAAGTCCCTCACCAGCCATAGCGACCGGTATAGTTTTCTGCAGAAAATAATGCTGCAGATTGTCGAAATTATTCTGCTTGATGATATGCGGGGCTGCAAAGGATCCGAACATTTTACGGAATATCGTCAACATGGCCGGCGGACCGGCCCACGAGCTGATCATCGCATTCGCCACCTTAAACAAAACGTTTGTTTTAGTTCAGTAGAAAAAAGAAGTAAAGTATAAATTTCCCACTACTGGACAAAGGCCTCCTGTTAACAGAGGGTATTAGGGCATAGTCCACTGTCCACCACGCGACCCCACTGCGAATCAGACTTAACATATTTTGGAAATATTTTTTTAATACTTTGAAAAGAAACTTTAAATTAAAATGAAACGCGACAAAATCACGGAACACGAATGGGCAGCCTTCACGGCCTCATAGAAAACCGGCGTGAAGTGAAAGTATTATACTTTCTAGTTTCATTTTTTTTTTTTCAGAGTTGTCAACACATCTGCAAGCCCTCGGGTGTTGTAGATGTTTCTGTAATCACTTAGCACCACGGGTTTTTTACCACATTTAGGAATTTTCTAGATTTAAAAAGAAAAAATTCACAATAGAAGTTTTTTAGGAGATAAACTCCAAACAAAACTACCTACATGGACGGATGAATGAATGAATGAATGAAAGAATGAATGAGCGAATGAACTAATGAATGAATGAATGTTTCTCGTTTACTAACAACGCTCAGCGCCAGGTGAACTGCTCAAAAACAAAAAGACTATCGGGCAACTGTCGACACGCGCTCACCTTGGTGAGGCAGTGGGCGGCCCTGCACCTGATCTTGTAGTACGCCTGCTCGTTCTCTATGGTGTCGGTGAGCGCCTTGCGCGTGACCGGCTCGGGGAAGGCGTGCAGCGCGTCAATGGCCTCGCTCTGGGCGGTCACGTCGCGCTCGTGCCGCAGCTGGTACTGCCACTGGTAGTCCGGCTGCGAGATGACGGTGCTGCGCAGCAGCGACATCTCCGGGTCCAAGCGGATCCACAGCACCGGCGAGTCGCTGCGGATGCGGCGCGAATTGTTATATGTAATTTTTTTTTTTTTTTTTTTATATGTTTGGTGGCAAGCGACCTGGCGGTTGAGTGAAGACCATCGCCCATGGACACTGGCAAAACCCGTAGGGTTACAGATGCCGCCGCCTTTTAATATAGTGGGCCTCGGTTACCCCACTGACCAGATGAAACGCAAAAGTATGTCACTGCCACTTCACGCCGCTCCTTTGTGAGGTCGTGGAACTTACCAGAACGGATCTGCGCATTCGTGCATCAGGCGGAGTTATTGCGTAGCTCTATTATTGCTATTTTTCAAATATAAAATAATAAAAATTCAGCAATCATAAAATATGGCGACCCTCGCCTGCATCGCTGAGGTAGCACTAATTATCCCAAAAAAAATCTTCAGATTGTACACATATAAATGTGCATTTCGTGATAAGTAAGACAGTATTTTAGACCATTATCTTTACGATGTTACTGAACCACGATATTAATACGGGCCACGTTCACGTTCGTCTAATTTCATTTGTGTGTATATCTAATTGTCTTTAATAACTTAACTTTTAATAAATGTGCACTTACTCCATAGCCGACAGATCCATGTCGACCTCCTCGCCGGTACATAAGGGTATCTTCTTCTTCTTGTTTCTCCTGCTCTTGCTGTGGCACGTAATGTCCGCTTTCACCACCGTGTTCTCTATCTGCAGCGTGTGCTTAAAAGTGCCGTCCAATTCCTGAAGCTGCACTAATAATGGACCCACGTACTTTCTTATGCCGCGCTCGTGCACGCTGTCTTGTCGTATTTCCAATTCCACTGTATTTCTATTAGGAAAAATTTTTGACTATTGTAGAAATTAAAAATTCTCTTAAAGTTGCTCTAAGCGCTATGGGGAGGGCTATGCTAGGTATTGCTGAACGTGATAAAGTTTGCAATTCATATTAAGAACTAGAACTAAGGTAACCGTTATAGCTCATAAGATTGATAAGCTGAAGTGGCAAATGCCAGCCATAAAACTTGGAGAAGATAATGATCGATGGGGAAGAAAGGTTCCGAGGGGCAGCCAATAGTGAAGACCTGTGCAAATTTGCAGGGTGCCGTTGAATGTAGGTGACTCAGTGATGTTCTTTGTGTCAGTCTGTGGGGCGAAGGGGTCTTTGTTTAGCGGTGGACCAAAACAGGCTGAAATGATGATGATAATGAGAAATAATATGGCACCGAAGGTAATTTAGCATAACAGTCTTCACAGAGCTGAACAGACTACGTCGCCAAAACACTACCCTTCTTGCCCTTCCATCCTTCCTGCCGTTTTACCGATCCATCTCATTGCCTTCTGGCCCTTTGCCACCGTACTGATAGGGGATTGGATTCAATGGTATACCTGTGTATGTAGAGTTGGAAAATTAGCCAGAACGCTTCCTCTATCTATACTTGAGCTTCGATTACGCAGCCGACGATGCGTGGCACTCGATACCACCACCATGCTAGGACGATTTATCCTCTCGGAATATAATCATGCAGTTTCATCATTAGCCACGAGCATTAAAGTTTCATAGGACAATCAAGATGCCATACCTTTTCCGATTGAAGACCGAGGTGAGCTGGAACTTGGCGTGACCGCTGGTCCGGACCCATTGGTCCACGAAAACCGCCATTTCCTTGCCGGTCACAGTGAATATCGCCTTCACGAACAGGTTGGTTGACAGCAACAGGTGGCCCCACATGCCACTGCCGATCTTGGTGTTGGCGGCGTTCGTCGCCAGAGACAGCTGCTTGTTGAACACCTGAAGGAGGAGCTCTTGGCCTATCCGCTGCTCCAACATCCTCAGCACCAGGTGTGATTTCTTCCGCATTACCTGAACAAAGCGCAGAAAACAGCTTAAATTCCTCACACAGCCATTAAAACTGTAAAACAATGTAGATTTTTTTTACGTGAAAAGTTGGCAAGCGAGCTGGCGGTTCATCTGATGGTAAATGATAAACCTCGCCCATTGACATTGGCAGATACGTTGCCACTTTGAAATAAAGTGAGCTTTCGCTACCCCAATTGCCAAAAACGTGGAAGTGTAACACTTCTACTTCACGCCGATCTTCTGTGATTCTTCTTCCATATTCATTGGATTAAATAGCATATTATACAAAAAAATCTATATCAATTGAAAAATTAAACATTTTGAATTTGTGTATAATAATTTAATTCGAAACATTAAAAACTATTTTATATTCAAGTTTCCCAAAATTTATAAGTGACGATAACTTCGAGTTTTGGGATGGCACATGGACTGTATCACACAAAATAATTTCCTTGGAAATACTTTTTTCAAATAACTGACTAATTAATCTTAAACAATATGTCTTTATACTGCTAAACTAAACTTTATAATACCTCGATATACCGCGGCGACATTGTGTGAACATTACGGACTGGAAAGTAGAAAACATCCTTGGGTTCCACACGAGCACCACTCGCTGGCGGCTGCCAAGGGTCGAGAACTATTCCTCCATATTGCTCTTCATAAGTCACAACCTGTGTTGCAAAAAATAACTATTGTTTTATTTTATGACCTTAAAAAAAAGTGGAATAGAAAACGAGCTGTCTAAAATAAAGGAAATAGTCCTGTTGTAATAATTGTTTCCTACCAATTGAAAATTGTATGCAATGTTACTTACATGGAATTCCTCCGAAAATTATCTACTATTAGGCTGTTACTAGACTAAGTGACATTAATGGAAACAACATTATTTATAAAAATATTTTATTTAGTGTTATAAAGTGTGATTAATACCGGCAGATTGCAAAAGCAAATACATGAAATCAAAAATAAACAATAACATTTTTATTAATAACCTCTTGTAACTCCTGATGAATCCAATATCTATACTCATTATTTCCGAAGCACTTCTTTGAGTACAGTCCACAAAGATAGTCTGGTATCCCTTTAGCGAGCCATAAGTCAGACCAATTCTGCATGGTTATGAAGCAGCCAAAAAACTGTTCTGCCACTGCCTGTGCCATAGCCTTCCTACTTATGTATGTTTGATCAATTATGGCAATTGAGTGGAGAAGATGGGTACTTAATACTGACATTGTAGTATATGCTGATGCATCATCTTCAGTCTATAATAAAAAAAAGTTTCTAAAGAGTATTTAATGCCTAAAATGTTTAAGTTTGATTCACCAACAAGAGAGATTATAGCCTGAAATTTTACTATATCTGATACATGTAGCTACATAAGGTGGGCTCAGCATTGTGTAATAATATTTACATTTTGAAGGCTGTTTGTTTAAGTATAAAGCCCCATAACTAAAATAATTTAAAATTAAGCAGCTTTTTTATATACATAAGAGATGAAAGTTACATAGTGTTAAAAAATTTGTTCAGTTGTATAACTTTCATTTAAAAATTATATGCATACAGAAGAAAAGCATCAGGTCCAAAATTAAACCATAATATAACTCAATAGGTGCATTTGAAGTCAAAGTCAAAATGTCTTTATTCAACATAGGCTTAATTTGAGCTCTTATTGAACATTATAGAAAACTACCACCTACTAACTACCAGCATTAAGATTCACTTACTTCGTCCACAAATACTTGTTTGTAGCATGGGTATGGATATCTTGTAGATAGTGTTTCTTCATAAAACTCAAAAGCCTCATGTAAATATCGCACTGTGTTCTTAAGAATTTGCATCAGATTTGGTAAACAGTAATGAGTAACCTCATTCATATGAGGGTCAACATAAGTTTCAAAGGGTCTGAAATAAAAAAGTGGATGACATTTAACTAGAATTATACATAATACATTTTCAAAAATTTTCTTGTGATAAAAAATATTATGTAATTTTTCTATATAAAATTGACATACCCTATGGCTAGTGCTATATTGGGTGCACATGCTGGAGTATTTACAACATAATGGAAAGTTTTTCTTCTATGATCTGGAGTGTACACCACATCCAAAAGCTCACCACAAGACACAGCAGTTAAACACTCGTCAACTGTAAATTCTAACTTCCAAGTACAAGGCTCCGCAAAACTGTCTACACAAGGAAACCAAAGTCTTGCTGAGTGCCCATATGTAAACATGTGTGCTGATTTCTGTAAACAAGTCATTGCATAAAAAGCTTTACTTACAAATTTCTACTTGAAATTCTTGATTGAAATTGACAACAAGATAACATTCAAATAAAAAGTTATTTTAAGTTTATTTAAGTTAAGTTTTAAATTTTATATTTATTGAGTTTGTGCCTCACTTCCTTTACTTGCATCAATTTTGTTTTTCATAAAACAGTATAGAAAGAATTCAAACCTCAACCAATGTTCCCTCCCCTTCTGGTACAACAAAATGCAGTCCACCCTGTGGAGACTCCAGAGAAAATTCTATACCGATTCGTAATCCTCTACCTTCACCAACTAAATGAGCAGCATCATCAGGTACTTGAATATGAAGTTCTCCAGAATTATGATCAGGATCTACTTTTTGTGCTGCAGCTAGATGGCACCGAGAAAAAGTTTCAAGGGACCGTCTGAAAATTGGAACACAAGGAACATCTTTTATGCTTAACACCCATAAAGTTTTAAATCATAATATTTGATTTATTTTAGAAAAGTAAGCACTTGTAAATTAATTAGTGCCCACTAGAATAATTTTTAAAACTATAAAATAAACCATTTAATTTTAAGTTTTAAATCATCTAGTTACGAATAGACACAAAACACAAATTAATGCATCTTTACATGAAAAAAGTCATATAAATAAATAAGAAACTTACGTATTTGGATCTGCTTGACATATATCCAAAAAAGGATCACAGTACTGAAAATTGGCTTCATACTGGTCATTAAGGCAAACTCGATAAATTCGGCACTGCTTTGCATTTAAACGAATAAACCTCAGGTTATCTTTTAACGGGACAATAGTTAACTCTACAAAACCCTACAAATGTTACACAATTAATATCTAAGTAAGGTGAATAAAAAGATATACGAGCGCCAAATAAACTTAACTTACAATGATACTGCGTCTTTCAAAGCTAATGCCAGTCAAGCTCAAAATTTGATGAGCTGTAAAATGGAATAATATTATTAAAAACAACCACAACAAACTTAATGAAAAGTGAAAATGCCACAAATACTTATAATTTAAAAGGGCGGCAGTTGTCGCCGGTTCTTTCCTTCTTCATATTGTAGGCTTTAAATATTCGGCATCGTGATGCAAAAGTTATGTGACAAAACACAATTTGTGTAAAATTAACGCAAAAGATAGAAATGATAATCAAATCACAAAATCATGTTAAGTATAAATAAGTATACTTGATTGTTGACTGTTGACACTTGATACCAGAGAGAGAGAGAGAGTGTAATCACTTATCACTACGTTTTTGACACTGCACACCTGCACACTGTGCCATAGATAAGACATATATACTGTGCAGTGCACTAAGGATGCCGAAAAAATATCGATATATCGATATTCCTTTTTAAATATATCGATATTTTGGCCGATCTATTTTGATCCGATATATCGAAAAAAAAAATGGAATATTGAAATCGTATCAAAAACGATATTTTTATTCAAACTGATTCAAAGCCGTAAACGATAAAAATGAACGGAAAAAACTGTGATCTATTACTAGTATTATCGTGGATGCAGAGTTGCATTTTGTACTATAAATTTTGTACTATAATTATTGTATTTATACTACAATTTGATGCTTCGTACTTATCCTAGGTACAACATGGTATAGAGGTGTTACAAATCATTATTATTGAACTGCATATTATGTTAGTTTACAAATAGCATGCAAAATATTAATGGCATCAACTAAAATAACTTTAATTTAATATGAAACATTAGGTCCGTGGGGTCCCCGCACATCAATTTTTTTTAAAAGTTTATGTCCTAGGCTTAACGCCGCGGCTGGTGACAAGAGAGCTGGTTCTTTTCTCGCGCAAAGGTTGAGCATAACTATTCAGCGAGGAAATGCAGCTAGCGTTCTTGGCACCATGCCGCGTGGATTAGGTTTATTAGATAATATGTAATTTTAGATAGATTTAATCTTGTAAATATTAGATCAATAAAGATTGTCTTTTCGTTTAGAAAAAACTAACATGAAAAAAAAAAAAAATTAATATCTAAATAAAGTTAACAAAAATTTAATTATAATCAAATTCTCAATAATTAAATGTCACATAATGAAATATCGAGTTTACATAAAAAAATTATTTAACGTCATAAAAATTTTATCATTTAACCACAAGTAACTTCTTTAAATTGTCGTCGAGCATTTTCATGTCAATCAAACAACTATTACTAAATTCTGTTGATCTAGGTCTGTCTTTTAGGACAAGTTTCTGCGGGTTTCTTTTTGACCCATTATTAACGTCGTTTTAAACAATTCTTTATGTTTTTTTTACAAAGTTACATGTTTTTTAATCAGTTCTTTTTTGATTCGATTCAGGGCTATAGAAACTGATTTATCTTACTAAATAAGCTGTTTGTTTTTTTTTCCGTGAAGGTTTTGATAAATAATATACATAGAAATTTAGATTAATAAAAGAAATTTGATTTAAATTAATAAATAATTAACGTTTTCTCATTCATTTACATAATGTGATTTTGGTATAAAAATTACTATTACTTATTATTGAATCAGACTGAACTAAATACATTATTTTTTTTTAAATGAAAATTTATCCGATATATTGATATGTTTTTTTCGACATAACGAGGCCGATGTTGATATTTTTGTAAATATCGATATATCGATATATTTTTCGACTTTCGGCATCCCTACAGTGCACAGTGTTGAGTTTTGTTTGACACTTCTGTGGCGTACAGTCAGACTGATCATAAAACGAAAACTTTTTACATACATCAGCATCAGTGCCAATAATCTAATCGGATTTACATTATTAATCATAATTTACAATTATGCATTCCACACTTGACGGAAAGTACCGTTATAGATCATTGTCATTTGTGATCGTGATGCCAGGACCAATGAAATTGTTAATTTTAAGAGCAAAATTATGACTTGCTCATCGGTAAATTAAAAAAATCTTGAGAAAAGCTGTATATTTTGGAAATTATAAAATAATATATATATTCCAAAGATTATCAAATTCTGCCAATTCGCAGTGTCAATATTCTGATAATTTTTTATAAAGAGGAGGCCCTTGCGGGTCTTCGGGCCACCGCCCCATCATTCTTGTGACGACGCGATATGATTGATTGATTAGAGTAAGCTTTTCGTTTGATTGTAATAATTGAGCATGATCGCTTTATTCTTCTACAGTTTTATCGATCCACAAGTTGCTGAACTACAAACCTAAAGATTTTATTGAAGTTGGTTGCATAAATGGCTGTATAACGCCGTTGACATATAGTGTCATATGGATCATCTCAGTATTAATAATGTAAAGAATACATTATGTATTAGTATGGACCATAATGGTCGTAGAGATTAGATTCGTTTAGAGGCTGTATAGAGATTAATGTATCGAAAAAAATTCCAATGATCTTTGAGGATCACCTGGTCTCAAGGGGTGGTAGAGAGCAACGTCAATTCGAGGTAAAACCGACGGTTCGATAATTCAACATGTAATCTTTTGTGACCTTATATAATCAACTAAATATACAGAGACTAAATGAACAATTCGTCATTTACTTTTGTAATAACACTATTGATAAGATTTAAAATTAAGAATCCATATAGGTAAGGATTTCGAAACGCAAAAGGCTCATTGATTAATGATCTGTATTCTATACATTCTGTGACGGTAACATGTCAAAATATGAAAGGAGAAAAGTGGAGTTTGTGATTAAAATTTATAGCTATACGAAGATCGTGCCCTAATAATTTTTATTTTGTGTATGAATTACTTTAATCAAATACTTTAAAATATTTTACATGATTGTTTATAGTTTAAGTTGTCAAAATGGGGGACTCACCTTATTTGACTTGTTTGGTTTTGTACATATTTTCTTTTCAAATTATAGTTACTAATTCTCGCACCTCCAATATTTGGAAATTGGACGTTGAAGAAGGACAAATTGTTGATGGCACTACCTTACCTTCGGTTGGTATATTTGTGTATTTGCTTTTTATGTAACATGTTTAGTTACCATGTGGAGAAAATTCAGTGCTGTACACCCTTCATGAGACTTGGTTACTTAACTTGTTAGCCTTGACTTTGATTGTGCTGTTTTATATTACTAAATTACAATAATATTTATATTTTAAATTAATGATGTATTTATACTTTTTTAAATGATTAGAAAATTCTCTATTTACTAGTAACTGACAAAATTTTAGGATGAGTCTGAAAAGTCTAAAATAACCGAGGAAGATGCTGTATTCAATATAATTACATCAACTATTTACTATGGTAATACTTGGACTAAACATGGATTTGATATGTTCTGCACAGATTGCCAAGTTTATGAACAACAGAGGTAAAAATATACCTTTTAAATCTTTACCAAACTTATATTATACTATTTAAATAACTGTAAAAAATCCACTTTAAGGTAAAAAAATCCACTTTAAGGTATTATAAAAGAACTTCAAATAAAGTTTTATGTATGGTTTAAACATATAATAGTGAGTGATGGTGTAAAATTCATATTTTAGAGCTTCAGTGGAGAATAGAGAGGAAGCAACTGCAATAGAATCTAATGGACAGTCTGGTGATGAGTATTTGGACTGTGGAAAAGCTGTTAATTTTACATATTACGACAATCTTGTTGGGGTGGCAAGAAGGCATAGACATCCAAATGTACCAGAACCACAGGTGCTATTTTTTCATAGATTCTATTATTAACAATTGACAACCGGATAGGCATAGTAGGTAGTGAACCTGCATCTTGCGCCAGAGGTTGTGGTTTCGATCCCCTCGACTAGAAAAATAATGTGTGATGAACATAGTGATTTTCCAGTGTCTGGGTGTTTATATTACATTTACAAAACAAAAGTATTTTAATTATATTTATCAGTTATCTAGTACCCATAGTACAAGCGTTGCTTAGTTTGGGACTAAAGAATTTCATTTTAAATTTTATTTTAAGTCAAAAATGAATAGTTTTGCTAAATGCTACAGTATGTTTATCATAATATCCAAGATAATTTGCATATTCTGTTAATTCACACAAAATTCCTGGATTAATGCTCTTTTAAAAAATTCAAAAGATTTAGATACAAAGTGTTCTGTGAGTAATAATTCATCATATTCTGTTCATTGTGATTTTTTTAATAAGCTGACATCTTTATTCAAAAGAATAAAAAATATCTGACTAATTGCAGAAGATATTATTTTAATAATGATTTCAAATAAAACCTTGCTATTTCTTCTATATTCTTTTAAATAAATAAAATAATATCTTTTAAATGCACCTTGAGTTTTAATTTATAATGGATGGATAAGAAATTAAATGTTCAAGTGAAAAAATAAAATTGCATTATTGGTTGAAATAAAGAAACTAGGTATATCTGATAAATTTACTCTTAGTACACTTAACATTGATTACAATGTATTAAGGTTAATAATGTTTGTACACCATTAATGTTTGTACACCATTTTTATTGTCATTAAAGTAATTTTAATGTTTCAGGTTGCACTTATTTTTACTAAGAAGAAATCATACAAGAATGGTGTAACAGAGTTGGACATAAATGCATTAGAGAAACGTTTAAAAAAAGCAAAGAAGGAAAAACCAAAATCTGTTCAACTATATAACCAGATTGGAAACTTCTGGAGGATTAAAGGCGACACACGACAATCCATCGAGTGTTTTCGTCGAGCTCTTGCAGTCTCGCCTTATAATTCAGAGGTAATGGTTCATTCAAAATTTTACGTCAATTATTGATTCCAGTCAGGACATAGTACTTGCTTAATGCAAGTACTATGTCCTCACATACCTGTGAAGTGAAAAATATACTTTAGAGCTTGGTCTGGTGAGCAAGGTACCTGGGGAACACTTTTAAAGGTTTATAACAGATACACAAGTGTTGAAAATTTTCATTAGCAGTGGTATTTACCTAACAATAAGTGAACAAAATGTTGACAAATATTTCACATAAGATATGAACTTAAAGCTCCACCCACAAAACAAATAATTTTTATATGTTAGTTATAAGTAGAATTTTTTAAAAAAATACATAATTTTTAAACAAATGAGAAATTAATATTACCATGAGAAAACATGGTAATATACCAAGTATTTTACAAAACAATGGCAACTTACATCAAATTTATTACAATTATATTATTTGCTACTTTCTCACTGCTGCTTCTTCTGTTGCATAAATTTTTCCCTTCCTCAGTGAGTGTAAACCGGAGGTTCAATTAAATAACCTGGTCGACAATTATCAATTACCATAAGCCATATCTATAGCATATACGAAATAATTGCCAAACCAACCATGTTTTTCTGATACACCACTTTTGAAGCAACACCTCCCACGATTTTGCGTCAATATAGTTGCGTAACTATTGCGACCTTTGGCAAAGACAACTAATAAAATAACGAATAAAAAGACGAATGATCAGTCCCTAAGATGTTTGTGTTACTAAATGTTAAAGCGGGTATTGACCCGACATTCACTTACATAAGTAACCTATCAGTCATGCATTAATTTCTTTGTAATAGCAGAGATAGCGTATGAATGCAACGCTACGTAGCAGCTTAATTGCACGTATGGGCAGGCCGGTCTGAGAAGTACGACGGCCTTCCAGAAGACCGACGTAAAGTAGTCTATGAGCGGCGGTAATCACATAAAACATCATTTATCACCTAAAATAAATATATAAAAATTCAGCTTCCGTGTACATAAAACTCGAAAACTACACTTAAATATTTATTTAATTCTGTTGTTTAGTATTTTTTGTTATGGCGGCAACGGAAATACATCATCCTTGTGAAAATTTCAACTGTCTTACTGTCACCGTTCATGAGATACAGCCTGTAGACAGACGGACAGACAGCGGAGTCGTAGTAATAGGGTCCCGTTTCACCCTTTGGGTACGGAACCCTAAAAGCAGAGTGAAGTGCCAGGCTCATCTAGTTATTACAGAGCGTCGTTGGTTTATCGCAGGTGCTGCTGAATCTAGCACGCGTGCTGTTCACCCTCCAGTATTTGGACGACGCGATCTACCTGACGCGTCGCTCGCTGGAGGTGCAGCCGCCTGACCGCAGCGCCTGGCAGCAGTACTTCACGCTCGGCGAGATATTCAAGGCTTACGGGCATTATCAGGCGGGTGCTTTTTTTTATTTTGTATCTAGAACTTCGAATTTTTATATGTCCTTAAAGTTGCAGGTTCGAGTGATTTTTCTTTTGACATAACTTTTCTCGTTAAAATTTGTAGAAAAAAGGAACGAAAAGTCTTCACCGTTGTGGGAATCGAACCCACGTCTTCGGGATTCGCGCCCCGACCCTCTAGCCACTAAGCTAAACAGCTGATTCAAACACCGACGAAATTCTCAACGTCATTTGTCTTTGTTGTTTTTTAATATTTTCGTTCCTTTTTTCTACAAATTTTAATGTGTAATCTTAAGTGCAGAGATTAGCAGTTTAAAAATTTAAATTTATAACTTTTCTCGTTTAATTTTCGTATTAAAAATACATCATACGTTTCGAAACATTACCCATACATACACGATTTACTACTATACTACTATACTACTATGGGTACTAGGTAACTAATAAACATACTTAAACGTACTTTTGTTTTGTAACTAAATACGTATTATAAATGTATGAACATCCAGGCACTAAAAAGACTATGTCCATCACACAATATATTTCCAGTATTGGGGGTATGTTGAACCCATACTCTCTGGCGCATAAGACAGAGTCACTAGCCACTACGCCAATTAGGTCGTTTAATACTAAAGAACTTTACTCCCGTCACTTCAACTAACGTTGCGTTCTGTTCTCTTTTAGGAAGCGGCGGTGCATCTGAGACACGCGCTCGACTTGCGGCCCAACTTCGAGCCTGCCCTGGCCGCGCTGAAGGACATCGAGAACATACCAGAGGCGTCTGTCCACGTCTACACGCTGCTCATCATCGTCTGCCTGGTAGGTAGTTTTCGAAGTGAAACCTCTAATGCGACCTCCAACAGGGTTGCGTTAAACGTCTAACGCTACCATGGAGGGGTTGTGAAAGCACTGTTGCGTTAAACGTCTAACGCTCCTGGGGAGGGGGAATAGAAAGTGACAGAGCGAGAGTGAATGCGTAGCACTCGAAGTTTCACTTCCTCCGCGTATATTCACTTTTTTTTTGTATATTCCCGAATCGCCACGTAATCGTGTGATTTCTAAAAGGTTTTAGATCATTTCCCACTACTGGAAAAATATTGTGTGATGAACATAGTGTTTTTCTTGTGTTTGGGTGTTTATATAATTTTGTATTTATTTACAAAATAAAAGTATGTTTGAGTATGTTTATCAGTTTTCTAGTACCCATAGTACAAGCGTTGCTTAGTTTGGGACTAGAGAACGTTGTGTAAAGAATGTGTCCTAAAATATTTATTTATTTATTTTAAGGGAATAAGCGATGTTTAACTTATCTTCAAACATAAGTGCTATTACTCAAGTGAGTATGGATGCCCATAGGATCAGTAATCTCTTAACATCAGGTGAACTGACTGCTGGCATGAAAACTTTGCAAACGTAGAAAAAAAACTTTGTATAGAAAAATCGGATAATTAAACTACTTTTGTGATTGGTGGCAACTGAGCCATGGAGTCATCTTCGTCACTTTGCTTCGTATCCCAGTAAAAAAAAGTTGTGTTGTTTAGGTTGTCTGCAAAATGCTATCACGGCAAAAAATTAATAAGTAACGTATCTGTATATATTAAATTCGTCATTTTATAGATATCTCTGCAGTCAAAGTCGCCAAAGAAAATTGTTATAACAGTATATTCCCCGATTGTAAATATATGTAATCTTCGAAGTCGTAAATCATCTTACAACTCTCTCTCTGATAACGTCTTTGTATCGGGCCACTATTGATCATAAAATTTAAATAACTTATAAAACAAGATATAAACCATTCGGCCGATAGTAACGAAGTGAACAATATGTTTACGTCCCTCTATATTATGTCTCTCTATCTTCACAACTAGATAATTTTAATCGACAAAATAGAAGAGTTTTAAGAATTTTATTAATTCTTAAAACTCTTACTTTAATAACGGGAGCCCAATATTCAAAAGGTTGTCAACGCATCTGTAACCCTCGGGTCTATGTCCATGGGCGGCGGTATTTACTTAACATCAGGTGACACGTCTGCTCGTTTGGCAACTTTTCGCATAAAAAAAAATATATGAAATGAAGCATTCACGTTTTATTTTTAGATAAGGGCCAAGTGTCTTCGATAATACTTAGAAAAAATTATTAAAACCTATCTAATGGCTTTAATGTGATACGCACACATTAGCAGACCTCTATAATTTTATATAAGTATATTAGTTTTTTGAAGAAAAGTGCGTTGTGCTACGCGGACAGTCAATGTATATTTTAAAGTTGACCTTCGAATAGTACTTTATTTTTTGCAGATGCGTTGCAACCTTTTAATGATGTGGGCCTCTGCTATCTCACTCACCAGACGAAACGCAGAAGTATAACATTTCCACTTAACGCTGGTCTTCTGTGAAGTCGGAGTATTTTTTTTTTTTATTGAGGAAAGGGGCAAACGAGCAGGAGGCTCACCTGATGGCAACTTTTAAACTATTACGGCCTTTTAAACTATTACCTATTTACCTGGACGGACCTCCCCATTCGTGTAACAGCGATAACTGTTGCGTGGCCTTATCACCGTCGAGAATAATTATTTATGTATCCATACTGATGTCGAATAATGTATGTTCTTTTGCTTTCGCAACCACCTCGTATAAACATAGTAAGCGGATAACACAAAACTATTAAGTGAAACAATTTCATGGATTTTACCGCGTTTTAATTGTCATTTTTAATTTTCGACTTTTCGAACCCTTTCCAGCGTTCATGGTTGGTTAAGGGACACAAAACTAGACCGACCGAAATTTATATCGTCCTGTTAAAATTTCTGAAATCTGGTTAATTTTTTTTTGTACATATAAATATAATTAGATGGGGTTAGTTGAAAGTACCTGGAGGACCTTGTTTTTTTTTTTGTAAATCGTGTATTTTGGAAATTACATTTAGATACAAATTACTGAGTAATTAAATATGCATAATATGTTTTTTCGGTGAAATTTACCGTCGTATTCGAATGATATTTTTCATTCCCTGAAAACTGGGATAAAACGACATTTTCTAAAAATTAAGATAAATTCTAAAAATTAATTTATTTAACTTAAACAAGACGTTCTAGCAATGTATGAAGTTGGAATACTACCATTTACCTGGCTTTTAGGGTTCCGTACCCAAAGGGTAAAACGGGACCTTATTACGAAGACTCCTCTCATGTTTGTATATAATATCATTGTTCGTTGTGATAAAAACGTATCTTTATAAATGTCAAGGTTTGCTTGCGTGCGATGCGCAGTAATTCACGAAAGGCAACAAGAAAACAAATTCAAATCATAAATTTAACTTAGTATGTTGTTGATAACAACATGATAAAAACCCATAAATAAGGGTTTGTTATAGAGAAATAATGATACAAAATGACGCAATTTATTTATATTATTCCTTTGTATAAAAACTCACTCTTCGATATTGCTGTCACTTGATTTACGTAAATCAAAAACTCAGTCTCAAATGAATATTCCTTTTAAATTTTTGCTACATGTTTTGCAAGTGTTCGAACAGATAGTGTTTTCAATGATGTTAAATCCCCGTCTGTTAAACTTTGTACTGCAGTCAACTATTTTTTCAATAATGTTCGAGGCAATCTTATTTTAAAAAAACACGCCTGATATTTTTTATTAGTTTCAGCTTTTCTGGCGAATTCGGCTAAAGCTTCGCCTCTAGCTATTTGTCATAATTATCGAAATTCATATTCGAATGGTAACCCCAGTTGTGTATGCTACTTATCCTACTAATTAGGCATTCGATTAAAGACACAATTACTTTCTGCAATTACTATAATAAATCGAGTTCCAGTACTCAATATCTTAACAAATGGCATATGCTTCTTCTTAGTATCGTGAATTTTGAGGCCCCAGGTATTTTTTATATAATAGGATATACAGTACAATATTTCAATAGAATATATCAGTATAATTGGACGCCATTCTAAGCGATATTATATACGTACGATACGTCTCATACTCGTTTACATCGAAAGTTAAAGAGAGCATTGTATAGTTATGCAATAGATATTCTGTAAATTTATAATGAAGATAATGTGCCAAAGGGAGTAAGATTCGCAATACGATAAATAAAGTACGGTACCATTAATAATAGATATAAAATTAAATTTCCAATGGTCAAAATACTTAAGTAGAAATCCGAAACATTGCTAAACGGAGACTGTGATCTTGGAAAACGAAAAGAACCTTATGCGTATTCTCATTTCTTATGCGTATGCTCACTTCTTATGCGTATGCTCGCTTCTTATGAGTATGCTCACTTCTTATGCGTATGCACAGGTTATGGGCGTGCTTCTCGTGATACTCTCGTCGGTGGACAACGGCGGCGACGTCGAAGAGCACAAAACACAGAGACACTTCAACAGAGCTATGGCGATGCGGTCTCTGCGCGGCGTTTCACTGACAGGATCACGTGGGCGGAAGAAAGGCGGCTCGTAAGCCGATTACCTAACTGGCGACTCCCGACCTGAGCTTACAACCTCTGCGTTAACTACTCTGTGCTGAGTTCTATCCGATATGTCAGCACGTTAACTAGGTACCTACTCTGTATGTTAGCTGCGTTTAAATTGAACGACTTTGTACGTTGCGTAGTGTATGTGTCCATCTTCTCAGTGTACTAGTCACTCTATTAGATGCTGATAGTGTGTGGGTCATGCAAAACTTGAATGCGTCCGTATTAAACAGTACACGTTTACACGAGTACAAAAATTGAGTTAGCGCATATTACCAGTAAGTACATAATTTCTAATAAATTTATGTTTATTTACCCTAATTACGGTAGTAATTAGGGTAAATGAACATAAATTTATTAGGAAGTAAATTAGAGGGTACTTGCCTTCCCCTCCGACACTTATAAACTGTGTACACAATGATGAGATCAGGACCTATAAACCGACATTAAAGAAAAATAAGACGACTTGGATGAAGAATTTTCAAGGCGCATTCATGTTTTGCTCGCACTACAATGAAACGAATATTACGTCAACTATTGTCGACCTTATGTATTATGAACATTAAGTAGGAACTCGAATTGGTGTGCTTTAAAATTATTTAATTGATGATTATTATTATTGAAGAATGATGTTTCCGAAATTATCAATATTGAATCATGTTTGGTATGGGTTGAAATGGTCATTGATAATTTTCAAACGCAAGTTTCACAAATACAGGCAGCTGTTTAACTCCTCCTCTTGAAATGCTCTTACTGAAAAAAAGAACGTTATGTTTTTTGTATTTTGTTATAAGTAAAGCAATAGAATATTTGACTGCATACGTACATCATTTTAATTTATTAGGTCGACAGTCGTCCATAGGAAATAAAAATTTGAATTAAGCTCATATTTTTTTATCTGTATGAAATGATGTTCTTCTAATGAATGTATGAAAAAAATTATTCGCACTTGTTTTTAAAGCAATGATTTAAGTATGAAGTGTTAATGGTTATACTTTTAAAACGTTTCTATGGTGTTGAAAAGTTGCATTTTGAAGAGCTATTTTTTTCTACAGAGGTTTTAAACTCAGGCGAGAATTCCAAACTACCGACAGTTTATTTCTGATTATCGGCCATGTTAATTATAATACAAACTAAAATGTCTTTCCAATGTACACGGATTTTGGTAATACCTGGCGAGACAATTATTAACATTTCTAGTGCTGTTCTGTTAAAATTGAATTTTATTTTTGTTTATACGCACAAACAAAAGCAGGTAACTTTTGCCCTTTTCTTTATATTTGATACTATACTTTGGTATTTGAAAAACAACTTGTGGCAATTAATATGTACCTACTGTCTAACAAAAATCTAAATATATGTTTTTTGTCGATTGTATACGAATGTAATGACAATTACAACAGTAATGGTTCTTATGTGCACAATACACACGCATGTCGGAAAGATACTTGTGTCACACAATTTTTTCATATAAAGTTTAAAAAAAATCAAGAAAATGTATATTTGGATCCTTTAACTTTTCAAACATCTAAATTGTTCCAATTTTATTGTGGTGCATCTTTTCCATTAAATTTTGCGAGTACAAAACACTGTATGTAAATTTTGTATGAAAAGGTATGAAAGGTATTAAAATTAGAATGTTTTAGAAATCATCAGCAGACCCAATTTGAAAATAGAATTTCCATAACCTAAGACTACGTAAACTCTTAGATTGATTAAAATATACCAAAGATTTGCACATTCGCTTAATAATTGAAAACAAAATGGCACATCATAACAAGTTACCTTTTTATGTTAAATATTGTATTGTGATATTGATATATTTAAGTTAAGAAGCTGTAACTACCGGTTGTGTAAGTAGTTTTATTATTCCCTCTTAATCATTTTAGAGACCTGGCAGTTTTGCTAAGAACTATTGGCTGCCTCAGTTGTGTTTAGACAGTTATTATATAAATTATTATATCTAACCCGTAGGATGCAAAGTCGTGAGCACATCATTATTATTTAACAGAACAGTACTTTTAAACAGAGGCTAACTGTTAATGTACAAATATTCTTTGTCATTTGTACCTGAAATAACAGGATTATAATTGTCTTCATCTCTGCTTTGTAGTAATGACCATTTGAATAAACCAATTTTAATGGTATCTTTTCTAGCAGATATTAAAATTAAAATTGAAAAAAAAAAAAAATTTGCTTCCGAAAACGTATTTACAACTTTTATATCTAATATACCTACCTAATAAAAGACCGCCCCCGCCTTGTTAATTACTTTGTAAGATTATTCATGTTTACGGAACGCTTTTGACGAAAACAGTTTGAAAGCACTACTATTTGTAGCTTTTTTGTATTCGATTCAAGGACAAACTATGATCAATATTAAAGTTTCGACGTACATGAAAATGACCCCAATTTACTGGTTACTGGAACTAAGGATCGGATTTGAGAATTTTTGGTGTCTGCACCGAGGAATACTCTCGTAAATATGTGGCATTTAATTGCATGATTTCTAACAAGCTATGTAACAAGCCAACAATAAACATTGTCCGTAGAAGACCGCTGAATTGTATCAAGACTAGCCGGACGACGTGTACCTTGCATTGAGTGTATTACTTCTGCAACCTAGTCATTTACTTAGACAAGTTGGCCCGCGCAGCGCCCCGGGCACCGGTGTGTATTTCTTTAGTAGTGCATGCAAGTAACTTGTTAAGTGTTCGTAGCGTCTAAGGATTTAAAGAGAGTTGCAAGTCTTAAATTCGGAGATTGGTAAATATGTACCTGTTTTCAGTGTTTCTTTTGTTAATTTTTGACTATTTATTACCTAATACATGATTGTCTTAGCATCAACCTTGGTTTTGTTTCTACGCATAAAAACCTCACGCGCGTCCAACGCACAACATTAACATTTTTCTAGATAGACACTAACATACAAAATTACTAACACATCCTGCTGAAAAGTTCTCCTCCAGTTAATAACGACGTTTTTGACAGTAACTGGTTCAAATTTCTGGCGGCAAAAAGAATATGTAGAAGCCTACGTTTATTTAGCTATAAGTCTTATGAATACGGTAAGGTTATACCGTATTTAATACACCTGGAAAATACAATTACATGCAAGTACATCTATTTCCATAACATTATTTAAGAGACCCAATTTAATTAAATAAAGAAAACAAGACTGCGACCTTAAAAAATGCATTTGTCGCAATGCATGTTCGTTGGAATCATTAAAAGTTTTTCACAATGAGTATATGATACAACTAAAACTTAAGAACAATGCTGCCATTCAAACTCAGTTTAAAAAAATTATAATGTATTTATTATAAAATGTATACATGTAACTGAAAAGAAAGTCCCGTCATTACATTTTACTTAAGCTGTCTTCACATACAAAGCCAAAAAACAATGCCAATTATTCTATTCTCAATAAGTATAATGTACAAATTGTTTGAATTTACAATTTAGGCAATGAACATTCCAATATCTTATACCTAGATAACCAAAACAAGATACATTTTATATTAGCGTGATGATTGTTTTTACTTTGATCTAGCTCGACTCGATTTAATGCACAAAAATGCGTGTCGATAATTAAGCGACGTCGTGAATGCCGAGACGGAATATATCGTGCTGAACAAAGAAAGAATCTCCAAGTGGTTTCAAGACAAAGGTCTGCATGTAGGGATGCGGCGGGTCCTCATCGCACTAGAAAATAAATAACAATGGATTATTATTAAAAAAAAACCACACAATGAGGTATGACGTGTTTTTATTATTATGTTATTCACACAGTAATGTTAATGAAATAAATAGGTCAATGACCCATTGGTGCATATTTTAAATGAAAGTGATGTTAGCAAACAATTCACAGGAAATCTAAATTAAAAAGTTCTATTTAATCCTGTGATAGTTGTTAAATGTTATTCCCTACATATGCTTGCTTTAAGTTTTAAGCCATACAGGGCTATGTAAACAAGTAAGGAAACTTAAATTTCATTCAAGGACAAATAGCAGCTAAAAACAACGATTTTTATGTGAAGAATTGGCAAGTGAGTAGGCGTTTCACCTGATGTTTAGTGGTTACCATCGCCTATGAACATCCACAAACCCTTTCAAATTGTGGGTTTTAAGCCCAGTTTTATCATTCAACAAACGAAAATATAATAATTCCACTTCATGTCCAACTTCAATGAGGCTGTGGAACTTCTCCAGCTGAGCTAGCCTGTTCAACAAAAGCTATTGTGTGGCCCAACCATAGTTCAATCATCAAATTACTCAAATTAAATCTTTACAAATTTCGTTTTTTTTTTTTTAAAATACTATAAATCAAGTTTCTAACTGGGTTGACTGGTAGGCAATGTCAATTGTCTTTCAGTCAGGACTTTGTAATCTTAAAGGAGTTTGCTTTAAATGAATAAAGAAGTTTAAAACCAAATATATTTTAGGTGCATGTTTAGCAACACATGAGTAGGGAGATTAACAATTGTGAAAGATGAAATATGTTATTCACAAAATGACAGCAGCTTAGAAGGCCGGAGTTTTAAAAATAGTGCATTATTTAGTAGTGTGATTCACAATTATCAGACAAACAAAAAACTGGTTTTATCTCTATTAAAAGCTTAAGAATGCAATAGAAAAGAACATTGTTGGCTTATCTAAAGGTTTGGTGTTTTATATTAAAACTAAAAGATTTCTATGTGCAAAGGGGTGAGACAATGAAAAGCATTTCTCTTACTTTGACTCTGTAGATAAAATCTATTTAGACATCATGAAGAGCCAGCCTGAACATGTCATGCTCTACATAGAATGAGTTTCCTATTGGCTTCAATACAAATGTTTGAAAGTATGCATGTGGCTGATCCTCATCTGTCTGTTACAAATAACATAAATAAATTTATAACAACATTTCTATTATGTAGTACAACTAGAAAATAACTATCGTATTAAACATTTAGTTTTTTTCAATAATATCCTTTAAATATCTAATTAACTAAAAAATATGAAACAAAATTATAGTAATGGTTCTTTAATCTTACATCTACACTTATTATATTAACTGTTTCTACTAATGCATTATTTGAACTTAAATAATTTTTAAAATGAAAAAAATTTGTAGTTACCTGCAATCTGCCGAGAACATTAATTAATACACCACCATCAAACATTGGCTGGGAATCTACTGATGTTACTAATCTGGTAATCTTTTGAAATGTCAAACTCTGTAAAGTTTCATAACTATATTAAATATATGTGTGCGTAATATGTACAATATTGGAATTTGCAGTAATTATATATAAAATTATATGAAGCAAGCATTATTCTGTCAGCATTCTAAAAACTATTCATTGTTTATACTATATTCTACTTACATTTAATTTTTCCATAATTTTAACTGCACCCTGTAATTGAACTCCTTCAAAAGTCATAAATGATGTTTCTACCTGAAAATTAGAAGTAAAACTTCCAGTTTAAAATTTATTACCAATTTTTTAGTCATACTTTACACATGTTAATCCTCTGCTGAAAATTGAGTGTTAACTTGTAGTCTTTTCTTCTTTTAAAATGCTCAAAAACAATATAAGAAAGTCTTTTATTGATGAACAAAGACATTTGAAAATATATCTTTCAAAATTCAGAATAAATCTTTCAGAAAGAAAATACTAAGAAAAAATTTATGTTTTAAAGACAGAGATACCAGTGTTATACTAATTTACAAGACATTTCATATAGAACAATAATTTCCCTACTATACATTTTGAAGAAATTCTTACGTTATTTGTAAGAATTCTTTAAAATGTATGTAAAAATTAAAGAGTATTTGCTTCTAATATTCACGAACCTGTAACTAAAACTATAACATTGTAAATGTTATTTAAACATCAAATTTTAATACCTTTGTGTCCAACAATTGATGCAAATGTAGATTTTAGACTAATATTTTGAGTAAAGCTAGATTCATAAAACTCGTTACAAAATTTATATAAAAACATTTTCGTACACAACGTATTTGGGCGGGAGACTACAAATAACTTTTACCGGTTATATTAATATGTAAAATGATAAATATATACATACAAATATCCATTAAGACGTATGACTAACGTTATTAATGAAATAAAACTCACGTTGTACATATTTGCCAGATTTGGCCGCTGTGCCAGATCGTCGAATAGTGTGTAATATTGCTGTACAAAACCTTTACCGATAGCATCGTACTGAGGGTTCAGCGCCATTTAGATAGTATGTAAAGTCCCCAGAACCACAGAAATATGAAGAATTCACTTCAGTGTTAAAATGCAGGTTCCCTGCACACCTCTCACACCGAAAAATATGGCAAGTAGCATTTAAAGAGCTACCAGTTAAAATATTTTTAAACGAAAGTGTTGCTACAGTAAGCTTTGCAAGTATTGAAAATTATAATGATATAATAACATATTAAGTACATACGTATCATTATAAACATGTATTCATCAACTTATGGGATCCCACTCGAATGACACCGGTTATCAAGTAACTTAACTCTAGTTAATTTGTGTTCTGTCTCATTAATGATTACAAAAAAATGAAAAATAGAGGTATTTATTAGCTTTTTATTTCTCTGCTTAATAAGCTCAATTTAAACGACGGTAATAGGTTAACTTTAAAATAAAAGTTAGATACACTACATAATAGAAATGAAATGTTAAATAAAAAACGTTATATAATAGAAATGTTTGTTTATAATGGTATAAAAGAAAATATAACCAACATATTTTAAATTTTCATTTCTAATCATACGTTCATAGTATTGATTTGTAATTGAAATATAGTTGTATGTTGTATGTTGTTGTGCGATTTTGATAAATTACAACACTTATAAAAATTGAGTTACTATTTTACTTTTTTTTTTTTAATTTGGCATCACGAAAACTATTTTACTTGTTATTTTGCTAATTGTTAATCAGGGTTGCCAACTTAGGGATTTTTCCTCAAATGTAGGGGCTTAAGGTACACAAACGCATTGCGATTTTATATATTATCATTATACAATTAATCACGCAGCGAACACGAATGCGTAGCCGAGCATTAAATATCAATGACAACACGACGTAATGATTCAAAAACGACCAGGCACACGAGTATGTCGCGCGTTGGCCGCAAATCTGGTGGCATACGCCGTCTTATGCACTGAGCCGTATGTTAGAGCATTTTTTTCTAAAGCTTAAGTAAAAAAACACTACTTTTTAAGCTTTAGATATACATATATATATATATATATATATATATATATATATATATTCGACAGTTGGTAACACTGTTGTTAATGTTAATAATAGATAGAATTATAACCTCTAATATAAAGTCATAAAATGTATGCATTCTATAATACATAAAGTGAAGTTTGTGTTTTATAAACTTTTGGATAATTTTTGTGCAGCAATAGAAAGAGAAACCTGATTATTAACCATGTCTTTGGCGGATGAACTACTTGCTGATTTAGAAGAAAATGATGATGCTGAACTTGAAGCTGTTATTGACAGCAAGACAACAAACAATGCTTCACATGAATTTGCCGTTCCTTATCCTGTAATCCCTAAGGAAGACGAAATCAAAAATGTATCCATTAGAGAGCTAGCCAAGTTAAGATATTCAGATCGCCTTCAACGTGTGAGTATAACATTATGCGAGATATGCCTTTTTCTAACAACTTTGCTTATAACACAAGAAAACTATTAGAAAGTTCAATCATATATTAATTGCACTTTGTTGACCATCCTCGGTGGTCACTTTCTATACCTTTGGAAGGACTCCGGGATCTCCTACGGAACGCACCGGTGTCCCTCAGTACTGCGCGTGATCACGCGTCGGAAAAGGGTACCCTTCCCCGATTCCCTCGCCGTCTTGCAGCAGCACGAGACCACTTCTTGCTGCTGCCAATCTGTGTCCTCTTATTGTCCTTTTACGACAGGCACGGGATACTTCAGTTCTATTCTATGAGCCCGAGACTACAGGGCTATGGTTGTTACCCCTAGAGTGAATATAAGGTGAAGCCAGAACCTCGCATCGGAAGCCCTGATTCAGGGGCGACATTGCGAGAGCTTTGGCGAACTGCATGGAAGAATTAAATTTAATAATAAAATAATGTTCATTTCCGTTTTTGCATTAATTCACTTCTGATTTTTCTCTATAATTAAAATTTTTTTTTGTTTGCTACAAAGAAATAGTAGCCTGCTAAAATTTTATTTGAGATAGTTTTTTTTATTATTGTAACAATGAGTACCTTCTGAACATTTTGAATCATTTACTTAATTTCAAAGCTAGACAATAGTTAATTTTTCAACTGTAAATGTTACGAGGAGGATTACTATTATCATTTTATTTTGTATACTATATTTGTGTATGAAATCTTTAGGTTATAACTGAAGTAGAGAAAAACTATGGCAGTAATAGGAAGAAAATTGAAGTGGCAGGATTGATGGAATCTGATCCTGAGTATCAATTGATTGTAGAAGCAAATAATATAGCAGTAGAAATTGATGGAGAAATAGGTAGGTTTCATACTTTCTTACTTACTTAAACAAGACTAACCAAAAAGTTGAGTCCATACTCATTATCCTGTTACCATCCATTGTCAATTTATTTTAAACTTCTGTGTTTCCAATATATTATATTAACTTTAAAAATTACTATTAGTTCATTAATGCTGATGCAAAGGAAAAGGGTATTCAGTATCATTATATTCTAATATTTTAAAACATTGTGTATAATTTAATTGACTATGTTCATGAGAAGCTCACATGTTTAATATGTCACATCCAAAAAAAATAGTATGTAAGGATTTAATTACATACATAACCCTTGCATACAGATAAGTGTAACTAATAAAAAAATATCATAATTTTTATAGTATTCTTATACATATAAATGTTAAGTAGGCATATCATTTCATTTTTCAGCTATTATTCACAGATTTGTCCGGGATAAATATCAGAAGAGGTTCCCAGAGCTGGAATCTTTGATAATTACGCCTCTAGAGTATATAAGAACAGTGAAAGAGCTTGGTAATGATCTAGACAGAGCTAAAAATAATGAGACACTACAGAGTTTTCTCACCCAAGCCACAATCATGATTGTGTCTGTCACTGCATCAACAACTCAAGGGTAAAATTTCTTATAGTGATACTATGAATTCATAAATGAAATGTTAAAATGTATGTTTATATGAATATAACCATATTATTTTCTTACAGAAAGCTTTTGTCTGACAATGAACTGGCTGAAATCAATGAGGCATGTGACATGGCTGGGGAGTTAAATCTTTTCAAATCTAGAATCTATGAATATGTTGAAAGTAGGATGACATTCATTGCTCCTAATATAACGGCAATTGTTGGTAAGTAAAAGTAAATGTGAGCTGTCCTATCATAAGTTTAAATATGTGTTTTCTTCTCAAATCAACGTATTTTTTTAGTCTGTAACACTCCCGAGGTGCTCCCATTTTAATAACATTAAAACGGGTGATACCACAGCAAACTTCAAAATTAAATAGAAAGTGTATAGTGAGTGAATTAAATAGAAAGTGTATGTTTGAAGTTCGTTTTGTTTGGTTTTTTGTTAGTAAAAATTTTATTTCTAGGAGCGTCAACTGCTGCGAAGATCCTCGGCGTCGCCGGAGGTCTGTCGAAGCTGTCCAAGATGCCCGCTTGCAACGTGCTGCCGCTGGGGCAGCAGAAGAAAACACTGTCGGGATTCTCGCAGGCAGCCGCGCTCCCTCACACCGGTTTCATATACTTCTCGCAAATAGTCCAGGATACGCCGCCCGTAAGTAGGAAAAAAAAAGTGTCTTTGCATATAAGAAGTTATAATTACTTTAGTGGAACAAAAGAAAAATAAGTAAAAATTTTATCCCCTCTGCCTAGTACCATTTGTTTATGAAACAGTCAATCAATGCAATTAATAACGGTTTTATTAAAGAACTTGGAATTATAGGTAAATTTCATAGTTATTATTGCTTGCAATGGTAATACAGTGAAGTTGGTCGCTTTGCGACTAACTTCATTATGTTGCTTTTTGAATGATTGATTTGTTTGATGGCTTGCGCGCGTATCATAATTGTTTTACTCTCATAATTTTTTCCAAATTGTCCAATAGATTGTTTGTAATAACCTGCACAACGTCCAACCTATAATTTTATTTGTATAGAAGTACAGCACACTTTTAAAGTAGTTTATAAAATATAAATAAAAAAGTGGTGTAATTAAAAAAAAAGATTAATACAATCTCAAAAAAGTCTTTGATGATTATGTTTGTTTACATTTTTATTACGTACCCTTCTTGTTGTTACCTGCCGCATATTTATTGTCCTATCAGGAGTTGAGATACAAAGCCGCGAAACTCGTATCGACCAAGCTGACGCTCGCCGCCCGTGTGGACGCTTGCCACGAAAGCTCCGATGGACACATAGGGCGCATGCTACGCGAGGGCATTGAGAAGAAACTCGACAAACTGCAGGTATACAGCAACTACTGTGGTAGTGCCACGCTACAGTCTACGCTGTGGCACGAATGGGCATGTCCGTCCGAGAAAGTACCACGACGTCTTCAAAAGACCGGCGTGAAGTGGAAGTGTCTTCTGACGGAGGAGGCTTCTGTGTTTTGTCTGGTGAGGTAGCTGCGGCCCGCTTTATTAAAAGGTGGCAACCCATCTGTAACTCTACGGGTGTTGCAAATGTCTTTTTTATGTGAAAATGTAGTTAATTGCTGTAAAAGAGACAATAGATGCCACACATAGCTTAAAAATGTAATAAAAACACAATGGATAAAATATGTAGAGATTTTCGTCGGCGTGAATATAAGCCGTTCAGCTCCGTGGCTAGAGCGTCGGCCGCGTATCCAGGGGGACGCGAATTCAAATACTTGCGGCGCCGAAAAACTTTTCGTCCATTTTTCTACCAATTTATACGTTCCATCTTATGTGCAGATAATATCACTGTAAAAAACTTGGAGTATCTTGATGCTCTCAGTTGTTAGTTCGTCCACATTTGGTCTGAACGTGTAAATTGCCCGTCAGGAGCCGCCGCCGGTGAAGTTCGTGAAGCCCCTACCGAAGCCGATAGAGCAGAGCCGCAAGAAGCGCGGGGGCAAGCGCGTCCGCAAGATGAAGGAGAGATACGCGATGACGGAGTTCCGGAAGAACGCGAACCGACTCAACTTCGCGGACGTGAGTGTAACGTTGTCTATCCCTATGCTATTTTTTTAACATTACCCTTACTGTTGGATGCCCTGCGGTGTAGGGACGTTTCATTCCTATACACTTTTTTTTTACCACATTTAATGTAGGATAAAATTACCCTGTGGTGTAAGGACGTTTTACGAAAATAGATTTCACGTGGACAAACGCCCAGATGCGAAACAATTAGGTGCGGGGCGCACAAATAGTTGTCCCGTGTGGGAATCGAACATAGTAACCTCGGCGCCGAAGCCAATACCTTGGCAACTTCGCTACAGAGTCATTTTCATCACTTTCCACGTCCTCTTTTCGTCGAAAAAAAAACCTGCCCATAGTATTACTACCTAGCACTCCTTATTTTCACAGTATAGTCTGTTTAAAGAGAGTACATTCCAATGTTAAGATTATAAAATAAAATATCATGATACTATTAACGACAATACATAACATTCATAATATATAAGATTTTTCCTGAAATACAACCCACTTAGATTTGTATATATATATATAATGCCCAAACTACCAAGGTGTCAATTGTAATTGGAATTGCTATGCGTTAGGGATGTCATAATCGTAGCGTGTACTTTAAATATACGCAACCTTCGCACGCCTTTGCCCTCGTATAATCGTGCACGAAAAGCGTAACGAATACAACGCTATGTTCTTTCCAATGTTTTTTTTATCCACTCGTGTCCTCGCCTGTACGCTACGTCTCATCCGCGGAACAAGATAATCGCTTATAGCTTGCGCCAATTGTTTTACTCTATTTTTCATGCCACACATATCACTGCGTTTCTTGTGCACTGCTAATGGCATAGTAGTTTCTGTTACTCGACTTGTATAAAACTAGAATGTTTTATAGGTTTTTTTGTTGGAAATTATAAAGATTCTTATCGCGGTCGGGTGCGAATAGCTTTTTGCAGTTTACCTTTCTGATACAAACAGTCACGTTTTCTATTATTTTAGCAATTTTTACACAATAAAACAATATTTGTCACATAATTTAGTATTTAAACTAATTTTCGATTAGTAAAAACAAGTAAACTTTCTTAATTTTTCTTGGATCGTTAAGTTTAGAAAAGGATTTGCAAAAAAGTCATTATAGTCGCCATACCATTGCAAAAAAAAGTCTGATAGGAGCAGCCTTCTTTAGGCATATTTCTTAATTACCTACATTGCCGGGACAAATCAAAAAAGTTCTGGGTATTTTCTCTTTATGGTTATTCGATGACGTCATACGAGCAGATGCAATTGAAGAAAATCCGGAGACAGTGTTATTCAGAACGAACGCCACAATAGCGTGTGTTATTCAATCGGCATGCGTGTTCAGTTTTTATTTGCCTCCGTCATAACAGCTGCAACGCTAAATCATGCGACTGAATATTATGCATACGAATAATATGCAAGCTACCGGTATCGCCTCTCAACCGTTGCGGACGGTCGATGAGCACCGGCGAATGTTGAGTTGCCAACAGTTCTTCGGCTGAATTAGAGTTTTTTTTTTAAACGAGCTGAAAATAAAGGAATTTATCGTTGATGTAAGTCATGCACAGAGTTTATTTGTGACTAACAGAAATATATTGTTACAAAGAACATTTTGGTCTATCTATTTGAAATAAAATATTTTTCGTTTTATATATTTTTCCACAGTATATAGCAAACCCGAAATACAAACCCGAAAAACAATACTTTATAATATTATAGTAAGGTTGGCAACCCTAGGCGGATGTGACGTCACGCTCGGCGGCGTCCGCCAGACGAATAGAATCTCAAACGCTCGCCGTGGGGCCGCGTTTTTTCCTCCGCCATAGACAAATAGACCGGAACTAGAGCTGTTGAAGCGCGCGGACGTCCGTGCCCGCCCCGTTGCTCGCTCCCAAACCGTCGAGCGGACACACTGCCGCGGCGATCGGGGAATATTACTGTGATATATTAGAATAATATGCTGATATGGAACGACTCTGCTATAAAGCTTGCTAATATGAAACTGTTCTGCTATTAAAGGTTTTCTAAACAAGTCTAAATGCAGTTTATAGGTTTTAAGGATACGCACGGAAGGAATACATTAAACAGACTGTAAAATACTGAAAAAAATGTATCCTTTTCTTATCGGAAATAAGAACCCTATTAATTGAACATGACAGCTTTTACTAAAACAATCTGTCCCGTTATTATATAAACAGCAAATAAACCGATTTGAGTAATATACCTTCTCTCATTTAACGGTAATTAAATTAAAGTTGTAATAACTCATTAAAATTGTTAAAGCACTTCGAATACGTATTCACCCAAGTCCGGCGTGCAACAAAAGTATATATATTAGGTTTTGCCTTTCACGAGGTGTATAAAATAATCGGAGGCCCATTTCTGGTGTTGCTAGTGCTATAATTTTAAAAACAAAAAATAAATAAAATCAAACCGTTCGGGTTTACACAAAACGGTTATTGGTAACTTATGTGAATATTTTACCAATTTTTCTTTTAAAGTCTGTAAAAAAATTATGACTTGGTGACGCAGTTGCTAAGCTAAGCTGAGCAACTTCGTCACCAAGTCATAACTAGCTTAAATGCTGAGGGTCATGGGTTCATGATTCTCACACGGAACAAGTATTTGTGTGACCCACAGATAATTTTTACGGTTCTGGATCTTTGTTCCCAAGGAGGGTTGATGTTAGATAGGCGGCCGGTAGTAAAAAACCTAGCATATTTATTAAATTCACGATTTTTCTTAAGCAATTCGTCTGTTTACGGTCTATTTTTAGTATATCTTCACATACCTTATTGTTCTATATAAGTTGCTGTCTTTTTGTCTCTTTCTTACCGTGTGGTTCCATAAGAAAAGGGCTTAACATTTTGAAACTCTTCGCGGTATATATCTTAAAATTTAAATTGTATGATTTGGTGGTTCAACAGTTTTACCCGTGTGTCCCGCAATATTTACATTCAATAAAAACCCTAATTCGACTCGACGTTCCGTAATTAGTGAACATAATCTTTTGATTCGTTTCTTACGGAGAAATATGGTGAGGCACCTCGTGGGCATCCTTTCTTGTGGCCATTTGGTTCAATATTAACATAATTGAAATTAGTAACCCAGAGAAGATTTCAACTTTAACAATAAAAAAAAATAACAGTACCATTTTTTACATTTCCTGAGCTGCACTTATATTAATGCAGCTAAGCATTATACGTTCGTGTGGGAAATTCACACAAGTGTCTTTTAGACTCATTTATGTATAGATAACATGCCAGTAACTCTAATCTGGATTATAGAGTACAAAATAGAGTTACAAAAATATTAATATATAAACGAATAATAAAAAAATCGACTGCGTATAAAGGTTTTATATTTGACGTGTTACCGATGTTCCATCAAAGTGAAAAGTTGTAATATAAGCAACCATATGAGCGCAGAAGATGCATTGATGACAAATTGTTGTCAATGCAAAGTTAACGTTAAAGAAATAACGTTTCAGTTGAAGGTCAAAGAAAAAAACTACTACACAGTCTTAATCAGAGATAACGTAGATTTTTTTACGGGTTTACCATTGTGATTTCAATATACGGTCGTTACTTTAAAAAGTCAAAGATTTATAGCTGATTTCACGATAGTCTTGTCATGTGCTAAGCGGTGAAGAAAAACATCATGAAGAAACCTGCACATTATCGAAATAATAACAATAAAATATGTGAAGTCTGCCAATCTGCAGTGGGGTCGCGTGGTGAACTATGCACTAATCTAATACTCTCAGTACAGTGGGTGCCTGTGCCCAGCAGTGGGACATGTATAGGCTGATACTTTACTATCAATTGTTCGTGCATATTAGATCGAGGACGACGCGTACCAAGAGGATTTGGGGTACACCAGAGGCACTATCGGCAAGTCGAGCACCGGTCGCGTCCGGCTGCCGCAAATAGACGAGAAGACCAAGGTGCGCATCAGCAAGACCCTGCAGAAGAACCTGCAAAAGCAAAACCAGCAGTACGGCGGGGCCACAAGCATACGGAGGCAGGTGTCAGGCACGGCTTCGTCGGTAGCATTCACACCTCTTCAGGTTGGTGTCCAATTATAATTATGGTCTTAGTTCCTTGTTAAGTTTCTAACGTGGCAAATATTCAAATATGAATAGAAATAGTGTCTAGCATTGCTGATGCTGCGTCCTCATCTTCGTCTAATGATTTATGTACCTTCAGGTAAGGTAAGTTATTGAGTTTACTTTTAGTAAGACCTTCATCAGCAAGAAAGCACAACTTGAGCCAAGAAATAAACTGTTGCATCAAGTGAAGTATCGAATTATAATTTATTGTCATTTTGATCCTGTTTTTAGTGCTTGCTTCGGTCCACAAATCAAAGTATTTAAGCTATTCTTATGAACAGATAATATTTTTTAATAATATTGTGGCCATTTTTTAAGTGGGTCGTCATCGACTTCTCGTTATAGGTTTAAGTCAAGAAGAGTTGCGAGTGAGAGTGAAGTGTGGACTCTAGACAATGTGCAACCTTGAAACATAGTTAATAAAGAGGATCTCAATAAGTATCATTGTAACAGAAGATTTAAAAATTTTGAATGGAATTTTTGTCTCGTTAGTGTGGTCGTCCTTTAATTTGGTGTGTAATCGATTTATCAGAATGTCATCACTAGAACCGTTGAAATCTTCGCGATCGACTTTCCATTCATAAACAACACTTGTACGTTTATAACAATTCATAATTATAATATGTTATTGTTATCAAATGTTATATAATCTATTCTAGAGCTCGCGTATGAAGTCTTCATATAAATAACTGCCATCTGAATAGGAGCAACGTATACTTATGGAGCGTACGAAAACCCATTTAATTGCTTTCGCCTCGATTCCTATAAAGATATCAATGGTTCGACTGTCTGCTAACTAAGAAAGGAACATATTTCGAGTTACGTAAATAGAGGTTAACTATTGTTTGGGACCGCGGCGGCGTACTCGCGTTGGCAGCTCCATTGTCGCTATAACGACGTAATAGTTGCAATTATCTCACGACTCCGCCTAATATGCGTGTACACATGTCTTATTTACGGAACAACTCTGCCTCGTCTAATTTGATGATAGTTTTTTTTCGCCTGTAACTGCGGTTCGAACAATAGCAGGTTTGACTCTAGTCTTGAAACGAACGAATTGGATGTCTTATTAAAGCTTTGGATAAAGGCCCATTTACATGGTGCCAGTTTCTTGCCTGTTGTATACAATTAAATTGAAGCAATAAATGAGTTGCATGGTCTAAACAACAAATGGTCTAAACAATTATTGCGCGCAATTTATTGCATTCAATTATTGCTCTTGTATGTACAAGAAAATGGCATCGTGTAAATGGGCCTTAAGTCTTGTAAGTATAGACACTTGCGAGTTTTTTTAACAATCCTAATTAGGAGACTGAGTAATGATCGCCTTGAGAGAGAAAGCTTCCATCTTTTGGCATCCGTTGTCTTAGGTTTTTTTTGATATGTGAACTCAACTCAGAAAGTATAAGAATGGTCCTGTACCATTTTAAATTAAATGTCTTTCACTATTAACTATGGTAGGTCCACGCAGCAATGTTTGCTGTAGCACGAATGGGCAGACTCGTCCGGGATAGATTAATACTCTACGTCCGTACTACGACCTCACCGGTGTGAAGTGGAAGTTTTGTTCTTTTCAGCTCGTATAGTGAGTGAGGTAAACCTGACTCACATTGATGAGCTGACAACGTATCTGCAACCGGTTGTCACTTAACATTAGGCGAAGCAGCAGGTCGCTTATCACCTTCTCTCATAAAAAAAAGTTAAGATCAGCACTCGCTGACCATTTTTATCGACCAATCAACAAGTTTTAAGTAAAAGAAATTACTAAAAAAAAAGTTAAAAGATTAATAAATTAAGGGAAATATTTTACGAAGATGGAAAGGTTTCCGATTACTATTAATGAATTTCTTAGAGTTAGTATTTGTACTATGTTATAGAAGGGACAGGCTAATAGTAACTTTAAAGTTTAACGATTGTAATTTAGCAAGGGGCGAAGGCATCATTACTATGATATCTTACGTCGATCTAGCCCTTGAGCGAGACGCCTCCGCAAGATATTTCTGCTGCGAAACAATGCACCGTTTAAGATCCAATAGAGATGATATGTTCACTGCATTTTCGTGGTGCGCTATCGTAATGATATCGTAATGTTTTGTGTGCCATGACTGGAAATTAGACAAAAAAATCCAACACGAATCGTACTGAATAACAGAAATTATCCCTTTATACTTATAACTAATAATTTTCTTTTCTATGCTTCTCTATCTTAAGTAACGGGTAATGATGATAGCTTACTTTTTGGAGTATGTTGTTGGTTTTGATTCGGCTTGGTTTCTTGACGTTTAAGGCAAGAGAATCAGAACTTTAGGTTTTTTATTAGGTTTTTATGGTGCAAACTTCTGCACTTTAGATGACATATTAAAATTTATAAAAAAAAACTGAAAAAGTTTATCGCGAGCATTGTTCAAAATATGAAAAAACGATTACATTTTCATCGCCTGGGCAATCAGCCGTTTAACTTAGTGGTTAAAGCTTCTGGGCGCGATATCGGAAGACGTTTCGATTCCCGCGGCGGCGTTATTAGAGTTAGAGCTTCATCATTTTTACTATCGCAAACAATCAAACATATATTTGACTTTTTTTTTAAAAAAATCGCATACTCAATAATAAGCTACAATGTTTTCTCGGTCTACAATAACACGGCTCTATGTTATATTTCACTCACGTACTTATCGAGTATTATCGAACAGTTTAATGCTGATATACATACAGTCGTACATACGATATCTCTAACTTGGATTCGTAACACCTTAGGTGCACCGGCATATTCCCGCACCCATTACTCCGTAATCATACCTTACAGGGAGCGGTCGGGTCCAATCCTAACCACAAGATTCTCGATGCATTCGATATCTCATTAAAATGTATTCGTGTTTCTGTCCAACTTTCGAAGACCGCGTGACCCAGTCGAGCCTCTTGCTCCCTAGTCGAGGTAACATTTTGTGGAAAGCAAAATGTTGGTTTCATGTCTACTTCGTAACTCGCCCGTGTTATCGACACCGCATTCGAATCTACATATTTCCATTCTACCACACAACGCAAACGCCCCTTGCATTGTTGCACTAGGGTATGGATATATATGGTACTATATAGAAATATTTTTAATATTTCCCATTTACACGTCTTTGCATGATATGCAATAGATTATGTCAGAAGCTAGCACCAAACAAATCTCTTACTAATTTGTCAATGTCGTTGTGCCAGAAAGTTGATGATCCATGCTGAGAATTGCTTAATACAACATACGCCGATACAAACATACACAACCTCTTTTGTCAAGAATGACCCAGCGGTTTTTGAACAATGCGTTGGTTGTTTACTATAGTAACTTGCGGTTGGTAATCTTTTCTTGATTTCTTGCTTAGCAATAAACTTAAACAGTACCGTTAATTTAATATCACGGCGACTTAAACAATAGCAATTCATTAGAGAAACAATAAATTGGTGAGTCATAGTGTGATTATAGTAGTAGATATACACGATACTATGTGTGATTTTTGATGATGTAAAATTGCTTTTTGAGTGAGTATAAAAAGCTTTTGTGTAATAAATTTCACAGGGGTCAACTATGTAATTATTTTTGTTTAATGCGATAGGTTGTCAAACGGGCAGGCGGTTCACCTGATGTTAAGTGAATACCGCCGCCTATGGACATCTGCCACACTGGAGGGTTACAGATGCGTTGACAACTTTTGAAAATTGGGCTCCGGCCACCCCACTCACCAGACGAAACGCGAAAGTATTTGTCATACTTCCACTTTACGCTGGTCTTCTGTGAGGTCGTGGTACTTACCCGGACGGGCCTGCCCATTAGTGCAACAGCCGATGCTGCTGCGTGGCCCTACCACCGTAAAAAGTATGTAGTTAAATATATTTTAATTCAAACTATCATTTCCGTGTCCCTTAGTTGTCCTTATCTTGAACCTATCTATGCTTTTCTTCATTGGCAAATAATTTTAATTAGAAACGTGTTCGAACTGGTACTTGTATAGATACATACCTATAAACAATTTACAAGTTATTAAATTGGATATTGCTATCGCTTGCATATTGATGAGGAAAGCTACCTGTCGGGCTGTTAATGAATTTGCTTGGTATGTACGTAAAGGTAACCCGAACAACTGGATGTTCAATGTATATGAATGAAAGATATTTTATAAGTATAATTTTATTGTCTTTAATTTTTTTATTAATGCTAATATTTTCATTACGTTAAGGAATCTTATTCTGCAAATAAATAATTTACCGCCTTCCGCTTTTTTTTACCAATAAGCGTAATCCAGTTTGTTCTTTTTAAGTTTACCTTTTAGCAGTTTATTTTGTCTTTTTATTTTGTGCCTTTACAAAAGCAGAGATTTGAATGCAATCATTGATTGCATTATTGATTATGATGTCATATACGATACATATTTTATTATTTAGGCGTCATAAGACTTGCTTTATACTATTGTGTAGAATTTTTTCTTGCGATTTTAATGGTAAAAGAAATATTAATTTTAAAAATGTGGAGTTACTATTGTATGCCTCTGAGGTACAGAATTATTTGTGACATGATCAGAATGTGTTCAACATAAGAGTCGAGGCTGGACCTGTTATTGAAACTCATAACGAAAATCAAACATTTTCGTTATGCGTTTTAATAACAGCAGTTTTAATAACGGCCCCGCCGCGCGAATATTTACAAGTTGCACGTAGCGGGCGGGCGAGCGTGGTACTAGACTATTGGTATTTCAGAAGATCTGGTTAGTACTTTCACCGTCTACATCTCGCCTTTGGTATTTGTGCTATGGGAATGGCAACGCCCTTCGCTTTAATGCTAAACATCGTTCACCGTTCTGAAGATACGTCCACGATAGTCGCTTCGGTTCTAGTTTGCGGCGTGTCGCAATTGGAATTTATTGCCAATATTGTTTGCTACGTCCGACTTGTATCTATCTCGGTGATCTAGGAAAAAGATATGCCATTTAAGATCCCTCAGCCGCCGACGGTAGATTTAGATGAGTTTCATTCAGTTACGTTAACAGGGACGGTTAAGTCGAAGGTTGTTAAATGACTTTTGTTTATCTCTTCTAGAAAAATACAGTCAACTATTCCGATTTGTACTGACTATCTCACGATTAAGAAGAACTTAACTAAGTAGTTTAAAATATTTCAGTTAATATAGTTTTACCTCTAATATGTAAGAGTTAGAATTAATAGCTCCGAAATTTATACATAACAGTTGTTATGTATAAATTTCTAGAGAATCACACATCTTATTACAAGTTGTTATTGTCGTATCAAGAATATACTCCCTTGACGAAATCAAACAGAATCGAGGAAGTGACTTTTTTATGCATAAAGTATCAAATTATAAACTCTGGGGAGTTCCTTCTCCTTTTAAACTCTCAATTTAAATATAAGTGTCAGTAATTTATTTCCGCAGCGTTGCAGGTATTTTGAAGAGAGTGCGCAAGGATCACACATTAAAGTCTTCTTCCTCCTTACATCATCAATTGACTTTAAATTCACCGAGATCCATCTATTTTCTGTTGAAATTCCCACCTATTCGGATATTTGCTTTAATTTTTATGTATAAAGTGAAAATTTAATTGATGTTTTCAACAGCGTCTGTGGTCTTGGTACTATCTTTTTTTTAAGCAAAAAAGCTAGCCAGTGATCCTATCCCATCTGATAAGTGATGATCTACGACTAAACCGCACATAACTTTACTACTGTGGTAGAACTCAAGAATGCAAGCTAATGATAAAAACTAACGTCAGCTCTTAGCGAAGCTCCATCCTTGCAGGCTGTATACAATGCTCGCACCTGTACACTGTACCCTATTAAAATACTATGCGTATACTTAACTTTAATGGCTCGGGCGTTAAACGAGGTACCATTATTATAATGTATGGGCTATTATCATGCCCTCTTCCCAGCGGCCACTGTTCAATCGCATTCGCCATTGAAGCGGGCTGCATAGTGATTTTGTTCTCCTACAGATCTGAGCTTACTCCAAGAGCTATATACTTATATGGTGCGGTTTTATGTATACATACTCGCAATATAAACTTTCGCGAACGTTGCAAGATTTAACACATTTTTACGAAACAATCATGTATCTAATTATAAACGTCGCTTATTGATACAGTGATTCCTTGACTGCCTAACGAGGAATAGTTTTTTTCGAGTGTATGTGTTTATATACAATTCTTTGGAATACTTTACAGCCTAAAATCTTTGACGAATTTCAACAATGTGGCGTCATTCGTATCTGTTGTGAGAATGATTTATTATTTCAATGGTATATTTATCAAAAATGGCAACTATAAAAAAAATCGATAATTAGTCAGGTTTTTTATTTAATATGTTTATGATTGAAACAATCATTAACTTGAAAATTAACTTTTTAATAGTTTTTGGACTTGACAATCGTGCTTTCCGAATAAAATTTTCAATAATTTTTCGAATTATACAACAATTGGTTATTTATGAACGCATTCAAAACAATATTAATACCGATTTGTCGTAGCATTCACGTATATGCCCCATCGCAATTATTATTATCTTGTTCAATTAACACGGGAACATGATTGTGCACGAACAAGCAAGTGCACCTGTAACTTAATTGTACTTAACGGTGCGCAGCTAAAGATCTGTTGATATTAACTCTCATAGACCGAAAAGGCGTTGGCGATAATCTCTTGACCCTTAATTCTCGGCAAAGCGTAATGGCCGCATATTTCACCGTCGCGTTCCCAGTCACCAGCCCACATTCTGCTCGTGTCCATAATAGTTTGGACTCTGCAGAACGTTCCGCTGCCTCGCAAAGGTTATAGGTGCGGCCACGGTGACTAATATTTACTTGAGAAAAACAAATCTCGTGTATTAGCATATTACTTTGGTCTTGTGAGGGTCATTGCTAAATGTCATTTGAATCTCGCTGCAGGTGTTTTTGAATAAGTTGTTACTATATGAATGAGTGGTCAAATTTTGTTTACATTTTATGCTTTTTAACTGTTGCTGCTAAAATTATTAATTAAACAAAACCAATGCTCATGTACGCCTTTGTATACCTGCCGATTCTGAAAGTTTACTAAATCACAGCAATACGCGTGAATATCTAAACTTGAGGAGCTTTTTTGTCGCATTTTAAAATGAGGAATATAAAATGCTCGTTGTGCCAAACACGCCCATAAAATACTTGTATGTTCACATGTTAATAGTATGTAACACTACGTAATGAAGCTAAAACATTTTGTCCTCATTAATGTCTTCTATTTCGGATAAAAGTACTTTCTCTCCGACCCTTTATAATTTTTCTATTTCTTAATTAATCCACATATACGTGGATTATCTTATTCGGAAGTCGATTTACGCAACTTGTACCCTTACCATTTCCTTGATGTATAAATTCAATATTTACCGATAACTTAATATAGATAGAGCCGTGATAGCTATAGAGCCGTGATAGCTCAGTGTCCGGGCGCTCGCCTTTAATTCAATATACTCGAGCAACCTGAGTTCGATCCCCGGTGCCGGCACCAATGAAGTTTTTAACTTTAAGGGCTGTCTTATCACGTGCTCCGCAGTGAAGGAAAACATCGTGAGGAAACCTGCATATTTTCGAAATAATAACAAAAAAAATATTTCGAAGATATATGAAGTCCGCCAATCCGCAGTGGGGCCGCGTGGTGGACTATGCCCTGATACCCTCTATATAGAGGAGGCATTTGCCCAGCAGTGGGACATGTATAGGCTGTTACTTTACTTTTTTTTTTTTTAATAAATATTAAATACTCTTTCCTTTATCGAATCGAAAATCGAACCTTTATCGAATGTCGCTAAAGTACTGGGAGTATCAATGGATTTAAAATAACTTTTTTCTTGTCGAACGATTGACAATTCTTAAATAAGCCCATCGCCGGTTACTAGCAACAATAAATGTAAAACATCAGTGTATGTCACACACATAATCAATGCCGAAGAACTTACATCTAATTTACTCGACAAAACGGCATACATGGGGAAATTAGATATAAAAACGTTTATTTGCAAAACTTTCAACGTATCGCAGCCGAGATTGACGGTAATGTTGTCCAATTATTCGTCGAGAGCGGACGATAATAGTGCAGTCATCGGATTCATCATTTCTGCAAGAAACGAAATGGACCGTCATTAGCTCGGCACCGGCTTGCGCGCGTCTAATCACGGTCGATGTAACTGGTAATGGTTCGGAATGACAAGGCCAACAGATCTATCATTGGGTCGATACGTTCTTGGTATCCAGCCGCTCTGCCGCCTTGCCGCTTGCGTGGAATTCCTGATGCTATTTTAGGTCCGCGAATGCCGTCTTACCGTCGATGCCTCCGATTGAGACGTTTTTGATGTACTGACCCTCCGTCTGGTGTGTTTTGTCCTGGCGAATGTCTAAACGTGCACCTTTTGCGCTCAATTGGAGCCAAACACGTTTTTCTACGCAACAATAAGATTTCACACTAAAGTATTTTTTTTTTCAAAGTAGAGAAATAGTATGTCAAGTTTTCTACGAGGAGTACTTAGATTAAATCTTTTCATTTTAAGTTTTTAAGAACACATATTGAATTAAGTATTTCATTACCTGAGATAGGTTAATTACGAGTACTTTGTTAAATCGTTGTTTTACAATTATCCGTTGGTGTTAATGAAAATAAACTGTACAGATATAATAGGGAAAGCTTGATAGTGGCACCAGTTACTACGAAAATGAGGATGGGATGATATGATATGGGCATGTTATAGTAGCGATGAGTTATGTGACCAGAAGAGTTTTGAGTATGAATTTGTTGTAGGGGTATAAGGCTATAGTAAGATCGTGAAAGATTTGGATGGACGGTGTGAAGAATGATATGTCTATGAAAGGGGTGAGTACTGAGATGACTGCTGGCAGAGGAATGTAGAAAGAAAGGACAATAAAAAAATTGTGTCGATTCAATGTGGGAAAAGGACAGGCGAAAGAAGGAGCAGTTATTTTATATAAACAGAACCTGGTTTATAATATCGTTTTTAAAGTTTTTTCTAGATGTTAAGATTGACACGCCTAAGTTCATTAACAATTGAATCGGATTGAAGGAAAATTTTGTATTTCAGGGCCTGGAGATAGTAAACCCGCAAGCCGCTGAGACAAGAGTGAACGAAGCTAATGCAAAGTACTTCTCAAATACCTCCGGTTTCTTATCCGTAGGTAAAAATACAACGTAAAAATAATCACTCTACATTAAGATTAACAATAATTTGTACGAAAAGAAAATTTCGTACAAATTATTGTAATCGTATTGACTTTTATAAAGTTCGAATTAGGAATCATTCAGCTACAAAGCAACTGTAAGCCTTAATTTTCGCGAAATAAAGTACAAAACGTAAAATTTGCTACTTTTCTACGGCCGTAAATGGTTGCAGCAAACATCGACGTGGTGAATTTTACCGTATCTAAACAAAGAGGGTAATAGACCAAAGTCTCATGCGCTTAAATGCTATGGGAACTTTCTTAATTAACACTTAATAATACACTTCATTATATTATATGTATAATCTGATCGTAATTATATCATTTCTGTAACTGATTTAGAATGTCAGTAGTGCTACTACTGACTACGTGACCGTGTGTGGATTAAATAAAATTATTTTTTCTAATACTTGCCTTTGATTTGTTGGTTAACCTACTTTGATTTATTATAAATCTCTCGCTTCCTGCTTACATCTATTTTTCAGGTCATCGGCCGCTCACCTGGTGAAGCTCCCCGAAAAACCAGACGCAGCTTCTAATCCCGCAGCACCGAAATTTTGTTCTTTTATCCACAAAAAAATTACAATCTGTATTTATTTTTAACTAACCACCTATACTTTAAATCTTCTATTAGTATTACATTTTAGAATCGTGCATTTTTTCTCTCACATACAAACACACTCTCTACCTTTATTATATTATAGATAATTAAGAACGGAGCGCATAATTGTACAAATGGAAAAGAGAAAGGTGCAATCACAGCTCCGTAATTTTTCATGACAACATCCGAACAGCGGATTCTGCACCGATCTTGACATTGGTTTTGAGGGAATTGTTTTGCAGATCGGCAGTTTAACTTTTTTTATGAATTAATATATTATTATATATTTTTATGAACTGTTTCTGATAAACACATTATACGAAGTATAACTTTTCGATCTTGAAGGCACTCGCGTCTACTAAGTATATAACGCGTATAAAACGTAAAGCGTAAAATATAACGCGTAAACTACCTACTTAGTTTACGCGTAATATTTTATCTTTATTACTTAATCCAAAATGGGGTTCCGTGGTGGACTATGCCCTAATCACTCTACATTAAGATGAAATTATAATATAAATCTTTACACAGCAGTGGGACCTGTATATATGTTGCTTAATTTTACATTAAAATAATGAACGATTCACGGTGGTAGGGCCACGCAGCAGTCTCAGCTGTTGCACGAATGGGCAGGCTAGTCCGGGTAAGTGCCACGACCTCACAGAAGACCGGACTCAAGTGGAAGTATAATACTTTCGCGTTTCGTCTGGTGAGTGAGCTGGCCGGAGCCCAATTTTCAAAAGTTTGTGTTAACGCATCTGGAACCCTCGGGTGTTGCAGATGTCCATGGGCGGCGATATTCACTTAACATCAGGTGAACCGTCTGCTCGTTTGGCAACTATTCATATAAAAAAAAAACAAAAGTTGACATGTTCATAGCGTTTCCGCATACTGCAGTCAGGACTGTAAATGGAAAGTCTTTCAGCTTTAATGTAAAAATAACATCTACGTACTTCTCTGGACCACTCAAAGGTGGAAGATGGTACAGTATGGTGGCATTAAATCCGCCTCTGTACATATTTTATTTGCATAAATTGTAAATAAATCATCAATATATTTTATCAATCATAATTAATTTCATTTTTACATGGTAATTGCTTTGACATTTGCAAATATGGAATACCAATCATGAACGCCAATACGTCTGGTTTCTTCTTATTTCACAATGTTTTATGCTTATCTACTTTTAAAGAGGATGTGTGATATGTTACCGTCAACAACATTTCATAATTGCTATTCGTTATAAAAACCATTTTGGTGAATATAGTAAATACGATTTATGTGTGCCATTTGCCAATCTATTTAGACACCGAATTGGCAACGACAAAGCGGTTAGTGTGTTTCTTCTTGTGTAACAAGGCGTGGTACGCCGTAGGAAATAGAAGTGACTAGCGGCGGTAAAAACAATCTAAGAAAAATGTTACGTTAGGACAATGTCTATCAGAGTAGCGATGACCTAATGGGGCTTCGACTTGTGGTTTAAGGTTTTTTATCTTGTTTTATAGTTTGTTCGCGAGACGGTGATTATAACAACCCATGAATATGCAACGCTTTTGGATTTGAATTTTAGTTGCCTGTTTTTTATACTTCTTTATATACTATCAGAGATTATGCTGAATATCGTGCGATTTTTCGTATATTTAAATTAGCAATCATCGCCGATTCTAACAGCCAGTTATTTGAAGCGGTAAAAGAAATCTAACTAAACAATGTTTATATCGAGGCTCAATTTCCATAGGTATATTATATTAACAAAGAAACCATTCGTAGATTCTCCTTTTTATGAGAACACTCCCCTTGTTTCCACAGAATCGACTGGAATTCTTGAACTAGACATATCGAGCAGTGTTCAATTTCGCGGTCATTTGTAAGAAAAAGCCGATCTGGCTAAGAGAATACTAGATGGCCCAGGACATCAAGTATTTCCTGGTGTCGCATAGCCTGCAGCTCAACAAAGCGCAGATTTGGCCGCGTATCGATATTGGGCTCGTCTCTGGGCTGGCACCCCTATAACAGCTCCTTCCATTTAACCGCATCCAACGTAGAGCAGCTCGAATCGTCGCGATCCTTTGGCCTTACAAAGAGATGTTTCATCTCTGCGTTTTATCGGTATTTCTGGACCGATACTACTAAAGGACTCAAGACTCTTCCTCAAAGCCTGGCAACGCATTTGTGACTCCTCTGGTGATGCGAGTGTCCATGTATGTCAGTGACCACTAACCGTCAGGTAACAGGCGGGTTACCTCGTTTGCCTCTTTTTCCATAAAAAAATATATACACATGTCGAAGGTACAATAATTTAAAAACATAATTTAAAAATGGCGATGACTGATGCGATTAATGAAATATAATATCATTAAACGAGTCCGTCAATATTTTTGCAAGAGCCTCTTGCGCCTTTACGACTGTGAAAGTATTTTATTTTTTTAAAGAAATCAACACACTTCTCCTTTCTGTTGCTAAAACGTTGAAATGATATCTTACGCGTAACGAACGCACTTACCGCTGTAGTAAATAATGGCCCTCTTAAGAAAGATGAGACAGCATGCCCTATTTACTGCGCAAGTACGTGTAACTACGTACAATTGCGTGAATTGAGTGTTCCACCTCGAGTTCTACACGTTTGTTTGTTCTTTACCGAGTTGCATTCAACGTCTGTCGGTCCAGTTCAAGGACGACCTGTTACGTTGATCCGTTAATCGCAGTAAGCCAGTAAGCCAACCAGCGAGTAATTTACATCGTTTTTACGGCTCACTATTTAGTTTGCGAGCCTTTTTACGATACAAATAATTTCCACCGCTACTATTAATTATTAAACCGGTACTTAATCATTGTTTTCAGGACTTTCGTTTCATTTCTCTGTCTATGATTCAATAGTTTTGTATTATTCGTAATTTTAAGTTAAGTTTAAATGTTGTTTTATCTAATATTTTTAATTTAGCTTTAGTTTCTTTTGTTTTTCATTTTTATTTTGTTTGAAGTTATTTTTTTTTCTTTCATTGTACAATTATTTATTGTTGAGTGTTTTTTGTGCATGTTGTGTTCGCTCATAGAACATTCACTTGTGTGTTAAGTTCCGTATCAACTTTTTCTGTGTATTCCATTATTCTGTAATGTGAGTGTAATGTTCGGTTTGCGATCCTAATTAAATTTAAAAAAAAAATCATTAGCGAGCAAATTTACAGTAAAAATGATTTCCACAGAGATGACTCCGTTTATTTTTTTACTTTACATCTAAGTTTTATTGTGTACTATCATTACGCTTTCTTATTAGAAATACTAATACTGCCACAAAGTCCAGAAACTGAACCTCCATAATAATTAATTTATGATGAGTATATAAAATACTAAAAAACTGATAATGACCATACCTACTCGCGTTTTCCCGACATAAAATCTGAATATCTAAATAACGTTTTTTTAAAACTGTTATTTACGCTCAGTAGCTGTAATACAAATTTACATTTTTCGAAATTCGAAAAAAGTTCAGCTCTGTCTCTCGTTCAAAGTCTGATATTATATAAAAAAAGTCTAATACTTTATACTTTAGGCCCAGCATTGATAGTCAGTCAGAAGAAACAATTAGCTATGTAAGTACATATACAGCGTGTCGTTACCATCCCGACAATAAATGAACACACGTCTAACGCTACTTGCCAATAATCATAAAAAAATATTAACTTTAAACAAAATCCATAATTAAAAAAAATATTTTTCAAACAAAGTAATTAAGTAAAAAAGAAACAAAATTTGTAACATCCTATACAACTCGCGCCACAGCGTCGTATTAGAAGCCTCTCCTTCTAACAGTATGTTTTGTGTCTTTTAAATTCATTCAACCCATTCATATGCTTTGTGACCTTTACAAATGAACTTTACGTTACGCTTTTATAGGTAAGGGTGTTCTAAAATTCTTTGTTTTTAAAAATGTAATAACCCTGTAAATATTGATGTTTAAAGTATTTAAATGTTTAATACAACTTTAAAAAGTTATCCCCTATATGTGTGTTCATTTATCGTCGCGATGGTAACGACACGCTGTATAATAGCCAACTACGCCACAAGGAGCTCGAGAATGGCAAGCCCTAATCTAACTCTTTTAGAGCATAAACCGTCTTATCAGAAAAAAAAAAACACCTTACTGGGCCTAAATAATAGGGTACAAGAATGATAATTCAATTGAACCGCGCTGTTACTTCTTTGTGCTGGTGATCTTTTTTAACGTAGTTGACTTTCATTACGTTTAAGACGTAATCCGTAAACTGTAAATAACTTTAAAGTTATTGTTATAAATTCAAAGTTCCTTTTGCCGAGTTAAAAGAAAAACGTAAATACACCCGATATGATCACGATATCTCGACGAGCATGATATCTCCTAATGAGGTCCAATACCTATATTTATCTTTGAGTTTTATTTTTGACTCATTCCTTCTTAATCATCGAAACTCCTCAGAAAGAAAAGGATCAAATATGAATGCCGCGGAGGCCTTAATTTAGAGTAAGGACATGCTATCCTAAACCTAATCATTTTTTGTTCGAACAGAAATTGGAATCCAGTAACTTTCAGTTTAACCTATTTTTTAATAAAAAAATACCATCATTTGCAATCAAGATCAGATTGTGGTTGAAACAAAATCTACTTTAACAAATTATCCACCGCCAGTTAATAGTCTAATGTCTTTATTAAAGATATCTATTACTGAAATTAATCTTCAGACGTAGCTATTGGGTGTTATGCGTTTTTCCTTTTGTTATTTAAAATTTGGATTCGACTGAAGCCCAGAATGAGATAATTCGTATATTTAAAGGTAACAATAACCACTTCATACATTTTCTGAATAAATATTACGCTCACTTGCCGCTTTCTGCTTTGGCAACTGCGTATAAAGCAACGAGCGCCTCGCAATTAGCGAGGCGATTCCATATTTATGCGAAATAAAATTGAGTAAGCATCTACATAGAAGACGCATTCTAATTTAATATGAAGAGCCTCACGAGTTTCCAACTAGTTTATTTAATTTAAATGTTGCTAAATAGAAAATGAATCTGTCCATCATCATATTAAAATTAACAAAACTGAGAAAGTTGTTACATTTTTTTAAACTAACGCCTTTATTACTTTTGCAACTTCAAAAATTGCTGCTTGACAAAATGAAAAAGGTCCAAATTCTTCATCAGTTCATTTAACATTGTACAGATTATTAAAAGGGTGTTATTAAAACATTCTTGGAATGAGGCACTGTCTCAATCGGGGCGCGATTCGTCACAGAAAACGGCCAGTTTTAACGGCTTCCATACGTGCTTCGAATTTTAAACCGTCGAACACGTCGAAAAGTTTTCGCCTCGCCGCTCTATGCGTGCCTCTCCCAGTTTTCGGACATCGGATCCCAGCGGGGCCATTGCAAAGTCTTTCGCGGCAAAATCGCGGATTGCAAATCGCAGATGCGGTCTCGTTGCGTGATCCCGCGTGGATAAGACACACCCGAAACGAGAAAAGATCGTTAACGGTTCATTGAAATCGAAAGAGCGAACGCGCCGAGTGAACGCCTCTGGCCCGATGTCCGAGGAACAGGTTCCGAGCGTCCCGAGTGGGCGAGGTTGCCGCGCAGTGCTCCGCTGGCCGCTAATGCGCGAGCGCGTGCGTGTGGTATGCTCACACGGACTGGGTAGCGAAGCGATCTTGCCGTAGGCGCGAACTCGTCCCCATGACAGCGTATGATTTAACCCAGCAAGTGATCCAACGCTCGTAGGGCGGCCGATGACGAAAACTGTCGAACTGTGCTAGTGCTAGTGCCAGCGGATAGCCCTTTTGCAACCACCTGATATGCTGAGCGTGAGGCAGACTGTTTAGCTGTCCAGCTATGGCTAGTTTCGAGGACCTCGCCTTCGACTGGGCGACCCTGTGTCAGGAGTGCCCCGAGTGCTGGACCACTTCAGGTGAGTGACCTTTAATGATAGCGCAAGGCTGTTGTGTAGCGAATCGATACTTAATATAATAATGTTAGACTTCTTTTTAATTCTGGTACAGTTTAGTACCGCTACCCGCTATTGAACCGATGGATAAAGAATCTCGTTTAGGATTTATATTGTTGTGTCAATAAACACGAATCTTCCCAAGGATAATCGATTTGCGCACGTTAGTCATATGGTGATAAGTTTGTTTCCATTATTATCTTGTGTTTGATATGACATGGCTATTTTAAACGTTATAACTGGTGTCTGCAAAGTTCAAGGTTAATTGGATTTTGATAGTTTTATGGAGATTCTTTGTTTTCATTTCGTTATGGTTTTTTTTCAGGCTATACCAACCTCATTAAACAATAGTTTTTTTTTTATTACATCTATATTTCATTTTATTTATTTTTTTAAATATTAAATTAGCCATAGCCGTAGTCAACGTAATTAACTTTGATATGTTAATCTATTAGCAATAAGATGTATATTGGTCCATTCATGTTATGTGCAGTAAGATCAAACAAATTTTAATGTTTGTTGTATTCTGCTTTATTGAATATTGTAAACTGCTTACGTGAGTTCAAGAAAAGTACTTGAACATGAACAACGTGTTTATAAGCTTGTTGACGGGTACAACTTAGGACGCGCGACTTTACCGTCGTCGACCAGCGTAAGTTGTTCTACAAAACACGATTCCAATCAAATTAGAAGTCTATTTATACGTCCGCATTACAGCCTTTTCAAGATATCAGCAACTTTTGTTCAATAGCGCGAACAAAACTACTTGTTGATACTTGTATTTGGATTAATTTGTTAGGCATTATTTTTCTTATAAAAAATAACTATTTTTTTAATAACGAAAAACAAAAAAGACTTCAAATATCTCTGTATTCATTTCAAAATTGATTTTCAAGAGTTCCAATGAAATTAATATGGGACCACATGGGAAGCACCAGATTTCAAATAAAAAAAGAATTATCAAAATCGGTTCACTCACAAATAAAAATAACAAACAAAAAAAATACAGTCCAGATGAGAACCTTCTCCTTTTGAAATCGGTTAAAAACTCTATGGTTTTAATATTTATTTCGTAAACAGATTTGCGTTCATAAACTAACAGGTTTATTTAATTTGCTATTAAGTGAAATGATTTTATGAACAGTCTATACAAAACATAAATATGATCTCTGATGGCGAAGCTTCATAATGATGTTCAATTATGGTTTCACTACCTCTATCAGCTAATAGAAACATCGGAAGTTGTTCTGACTTTCCTTGACCTTGATAATTTGACCCTTGTTCATTACAATAGTTCAATGCTTTTTTAGACATATACGATTAAAAAGTGTTTGCTTAACTTGTTCTAGGTGTAATTATATAAGTAACTTAAAGCGATTAAATCTCTTAGGTTAATTGTCTTTAAATATAGAAAATTTATAATACAGTATCATATTTCAGAGTTATTTTAAAATCTATTTCATTAAAAGTAATTAAAATTTCCTATGGGGAGGCCGCTGTTCAGCAGTGGACAGGCTGAAATGATGATGATGAAAATTTCCTATGCATGATTACTACAATATTAATAGATTAAATTAAATATAGGCCAAATTTTGATCGGGAGTATAATTTCAAAGCTGAAGATAGTCGGGGCTAATTTCAAGCCAGCTAACTGTTCATAGGTTATAGTGATCATGGATCCTCCTCCTCCCTTTCATCCTGTTTAATCCTGTGAATATTTAGTAGTTCTAATAAAAAAATAACGTTTAGTTTACATATATATATAAGAAATCGTTAAACTAGCATCAGGCTTATTCAAGAATTTCCAACGGCGAAATTCAACAATTTCGAATCATCACGTAACGGCTTTCTTGTATAAGAAATTGTACGTGATAAGAAGACGTTCTTGGTTATGTGAATATTTGCATCTGCAATATTATTCTCCCTTCGGATGTATTTATCTAATATTTATTTTAGCATTTGTCACCGCGGTCACGCTTTCGGGAACTTACGTGACTTCTAAGTGTGGAGCGATAAGCGAGTGATATAGCGGATATCATCTATAACTTTTATGTATTTCTAATTAACAGAATTTAAGTCAAATTTTCCTTTCGTTAAATTCATTCATTTTTTTTAATTGGCTCGTTGGCGATTTGCTAAAGCATTGAGAAGAGCAAAATGTTTTACTTAGCTTGAAGCACTTACAAATTTTTGCGAAACTGTAAATTAAATTTTATTCTTAAAGTTTCCTCCTAAATCCAAACTTTATGGGCTTGAACTCGTGTCAATAAATTCATCGCCCATAATATCGTAAAATCGCCCCGACAAGGAAAAGGTTGTCTATATTTTGAAGAAGTCCCATTCTTAGGGTTCCGTACCCAAAGGGTAAAAAGGACGTTATTACTGTGGACAGTTAGTATGTCTACGATTTTATTTCTGTTTAATGAATCTGTTCGTGACAAGTAATAAAAGTTTACATCCTCCAGAGTAAAGTCAGATTTTGCCTTTTACGTCTAATTTTTTTGGCCTTTATGTTGCCTTTTGTAGGCTCACAATGAAAATTGTAGTGGCGTCCATATTGTAAATTCTTACGCCTGCATATAACTTACTTATTCTTTACGCTGCATGACCGATGTTATCGCATTCGCTTAATGCATTTTTTTCGTAGTGCGTTTGAATGGACAGGTTTCGTTCATTGAACCGCTGTCCCGTATTCGTAAGCGTAAGACAAGTAATGGCAGAGAAATGTAATACGCATTGCTTTGCATATCATAAAAAGGAAAAGAAGGAACGCGTATAATAAAAAGCAAAGAAAGTAATTCCGGATATATTTTTATTAAGCGTTTTATGTGCATACATACAGGCATAAGAGTCTATTGATGTCCGTATTTTTTAACTACTCAACAAAAGCTCTCAGATTTCGTATTTGCATTAATGCTCAGGACAGGATCTTGCATTGAAAGGTAGTTCAAAAGGAATTTATTCAATTCATAAAATAATTTAACTCGTATTGGTCATAAATTGTAATGTAGTACTACATTACAATTTATGACCAAAACAACGTAGAATGAAATTGTTTGTAACAAGAAAACTATTTTATAATTAGTGTTGCATGTTTCAAAATTGATACACAAAACGACAATGATGTAGAATACTGTACTGGCGATGAAACATAAAAGAACGTTGTTTTTTATTATCTTCTAAAAGCTTGTTTATTTATAGTATAAAAAATGTGTTTACTTGTATTAGTAAACCAACAAAAAAGAATTTTTAACTCGCAAATGTTCAGACACTACAGATTATTGACTTGGCGATCCATAAAGCCCCACGCCACGCAGAACGTGAAACAGACAGATTTCACGAGCTTGATACGACCCTACGGGTTGGGCCCAATGGCTGCTGACTGTTAATCGTTGGCTGGGTGCAGTGTATCTTATGCATGTATGGTAAAGTAACTGGCTTTAAATGTGCCACTGCTGGTCAAAGCAATCTGTACAGAGAGTTTTAAGAGCACATTCCCACCACGCGACCCCACCGCGGATTGGCGAACATCACACGTCCTCGAAATATATAGTTTCTTTTTGTTATTATTTCGAAGATAAGGTGGTTTACACACGATGTTTTCCTTCACTGCTGAACACATGATAAGTCAGCACATAAAATTAGCAATTTCATTGGTGCTGGTACCAGGGATTAAAGACTGGTTGCTCGAATTAAAAGCGTGCGCCGGGACAATGAGATACCACGGTGGCTAGTGCACGTCAGCACGGTAGTTCTTTATGTACACGTTTCTTGCTCTTAGGTGAGGATGAACTAACTACGGGTGGTGAACAGGGACTAGTTTTTTTGTCGGGTGGGAACACCGGTGGGTTCGGAATTCTTTTCCCCTTCTTCGACACGCTCGATAGGGACATTACGGTTGGTAATTTGCTGCGCTTGCCACACGAGGTTGGAGCGATTTCGGCTTTTTCGAACAAACGTTGAGCTACATCATTATAATAATGATATAGTGTCGTGACTTGGCAGTCGTTATTCGTTCGATGTAACAGGTGCACGCTGTTATCATTAATTTGGACCACTTGAAGTTTTTTTCGGGTATATTTTATTGCAGGGCTTATAAGTCACCTAGTATAAAGTTGCCGTCTACATAACGTAGTATGAAAAATATCCTTAAATATTTATCTATCCCTACTAATATTGCAAATGTGAATATTAGTTTGTTTGTTACCAAAACTACTCAACCGATTATCGTCGTAAGACTTCAGTGATTTTTAAAACTTGCCTACCGCCGACGCGTTCACGTGAGTTTCGTTGAAATTCTTTTGCACAGGCGTCGAGATGTGAATGAGACAATTAGTGTGGAATTGAAAGTGCGATTGAGCCTGCAATATCGTTTCGCTTTCGTTTCACATCCGAAGGGTGCAATTAACTTGCGGCATAAAAAAAGGTATTATTCCACTCGGTCAATTATGTTTGTTCGTGGCGAGTGGACTTATTGCTATTTATTAAATCAACGATTCGTTGTGTTCCCACGGCTTTTCTTAATTGACGCATGTGTCATTGACCCCCGAATCACTTTATAAGACTTTAAGCTGTCAGTCGTGACTGTTCGCCAATCGCTTTATAATGATTACACCTCATATTGAATCATTAAGCCGAAATCATGGAACTAGCAATTTTTATAAAGTCTACATGCAATTATTAAGTAATAATATATTTTTGGGGCGTGTCGTCTGTTTAGTGGTTCCGACGGTATAAGTCTTCAATACGATGGACTTTCTTGTCCTTCTTTCTTTACTTGGACGAGGGTTCCCGAGGGAGACTCGTCTCGGGCCGTCACGCTATTATTATCATTACCGGTTTGGGAGGCCACCAAGCTCTTAGGGTGCTTTGGTGGACGCTCCTTGGAGTGACTAGGCTAAAGGGCCCCCGAGAGGGGATCTCGGCTTGGGCTATCACTCAATACCCGTTTAGCATTCCGATTTGATTCGTTTCTATTATCTGACTGGGAGAATTTCTAGATCTATCATTACTACCACTTCGGAAAGCGTTAGAGAAGAAGTGGCGGAAGAAACTCCAGCAACGTTTCTATCATTAACTGGGGAGAACTTGCCAGTTACGTAGCGGAACCTAGTATATGTTTTGTTTACCTAGTATATGTAAATCGAGTACGTGTCGTGGTCTGCGCCATTGGCGATGGAACGATCCTAGCGGTAGGGATTTGTAGGTGACGGCACCTACAACTAACGGATTGGGATGCGCGGCGGCGGATTCGAAGTGGCGTCGCGTAATGTAAGTCTCGGGAATCTACATGTAAGTCGATGTTCCGCATGAACCACGGTGCTCCCGTAGCTCTGCGCAAAAATCGATTCTGGATGATCTGAAGCCGGCGTATTTGCCTAGGGACAATATGCGCAACGACCGGACTCGCGTATGTCATAATGGGGCGAACTACTGCCTTATTCAGAAGGGACATTTTTGAAGTTTTATTTATAAGGGGTACAGGCGACCTAGTACGAAGGCCGCCCGGTTCCTGACCCGAGTCACGTGCTGGCTTAATTTGAGTTGGGAGTTGAGGACAATACCTAAGTATTTGACTTTATTTACCCATGGAACCGGACTATCCATGAGTTAAAGGGGTGGAGACCGCCAGGTCTCTTGCTACAAAAACTGTTACTGCTAAAAAAATAATTTGCTTGTGGTAATCATAGTCGTATCGCACCTAATTTTAAAATAATGTTGATATAAGAGTTCTACAATTATGACCAACCAAATTTGAAAACCAATTATTAATTAATATTAAACCAATATTGCTCTTTAGATGTTTTCAAATATTTATTAGTATATACACCATACAACAAAGATACGAAGATTTCCAAAGTCGTATATGCGGCGAGATAACAGTAGTACAACAAAGGTAATCGACATAGCTCAGAACATTGGTAAGCTGAAATGACATTAGGCCGGCCATATAGCTCGTAGAACCGATAACCGATGAGGAAGAAAGGTTCGCGTGTAGCAACGGTGTGGCTTATTAAAATCTTTAATGACTAAATTATGATAATGATAGGATAAGATAACATAAAATTTCGATAATTATTATGCTTATGATGATAAGGATAGTGTGAATACAACCCGTCAGCTACGACTGTTTACTAAATTTTTAAGGGTTCGCGGCGCATCTGCTTCCCATTTGGCGATGAAGAAGTCCATAGAAGCCGGTAATCACTTAACATGAGATGAACCGCGTGCACGCGTGCCAACTTTTCACATTAAAAAAAAAACGAACGCGTTGTATATCTCAAGGATGTTATAAAATTATTTCTCAAAGCCGGTTCATCGTATTATGGAGGAAGTATTCAAAACTATCTGTTTATGTTAATGACTACAAGTTTTGTCAGCGAGCGTTCCCGCGAGGCAGTGTATGCTGCTTGTTCCGCTACGTTTGGGGCATGAGACAAATTATCAATTATTTGCAATACAACATTTATGTAAGTGGAGGTTATGACGCTTGGCTAGATTGTTATCAATGTTTTGTAAGTAATATTGAATAACAGCCGCTAGATTTGGTATTAGGAAACTTCTGACCGAGTGAAGCAAAATTAAGTAATAATTTGCTGAATATATTGCGAATTATACTACTGGGTTAATTTCCGTTCGCTATTCTTGAAGCCAGTGGTGGCCTCGGGGAGAGTACTCGAGCAACCAGAGTCAATAAAATCGTTCATCGTGTTTTATGTGCTGGATTACCACGGGTCCAGCCGAGCGGGATTTCTTGCTGGTGTATCTCTGGACAGGTCTAGTTCTTGTGACCCGATGGTAGATTTTTGACGTTCAATAAGAGTTTAATATAAGCCTATATTGAATAAAAAAAAATTACTTTGACGTTGACTATGAAAGAAAACATCACATGAACTCGGAAACATACTTCTTAGAAACAAATGAAATAACATTTCGATTATACTGGGTGATTTTTAGACGAAGTATATACTTTGATATGATGTTAATTGTGCATTCCATAATTCAAAATATATATATAAATATTTTATTTTGACAAGAAATAACCCTATTGATAAGCGGTTTAGTAATTATGTGTTCAGCGTTCTTGTGCTCGTGAATAGGTAGGTTACTGTATTGAGACGCTGAAGAAGGAATTTCTAACAGGGTGTCCATAATGTTTGAAAAAAATTAAATTAATTTTTTGAAAAAAAATCAGGTACCAAACGTACGTATTAGACTCAGATATAGAATCAAATTCTGCATATGCTCTTTTAATATGTCTGTCATCTATAAAATCAACATGTGTTCAGCTTTCAGATATTCTGTTATGGGGTCCCGTAATACCATTTCTACAAAAACCTTTACACAACTGTGGGTAATTGACTTATAGATTGTTAAGAATTAAGTTAAGAAATAATTTTGAATTAAGTCTGCAATAAATTAAACATATTTATAAAAAATAATGAGGTAAAACTTCAAGTTACAATTAAACAGTTGTTCTAGCAATCGTACCGTAATCAACAATGAAAGAAATATAAAGTGTTCTCACTAAAAACCTTATATAATCTGTAATAAACCTGATTGTAAATAAAGATCCAGTTAGTAGATTCAGCCAGTTCTTTTATAAAATTTAATCTGTAATTGGAATAGCGCGGATGAAGGAGTATGAAATTTCTCACACTTACAGTTTACTAGCGCCTTCGCATGGGTGCAATGTGATATTATACATATCTATCTAATACCTTTAAACGAGCAACTCTTGTGTATATATATATATATATATATATATATATATATCTCGGAAACAGCTCCAGCGTTTTTCATAAAATTTGGTATGTGCGTAAATTCGGGGGGCGAAAAATCGATCTAGATGTTATAATAGCTCGGTCGGTAATCTGGCGGCCCCGAAACAGAACTTTTTTTACTTTTCTTCAATACCAGGTTATTGCTTTCTTTATCTTTTATTTTTTTATCTCCAAAATACACGATTTACCAAAAAAACGAGCTCGGTCCTCCAGGTACTAAACCTTACTCTTTTGAATCATTTTATCTAATAAAAAAACCACATCAAGATCCGCTGCGTACTTTTAATCATCTAAGCATACATAGGGACAGACAGACAGCGGGACGACGACGTGGTTTTATACTATGTAGTGATATAGAGTGAGATAGGGGAGTGCTGAATGCTAATATTTTTTTTAACTATGCATAAAAAATATTTATGTATTTTTAAGCATAATAAAAAAAACTATGACTCAATCAATATAGAAAACATTACACACGCTACCATGTATTTGACACACATACACACGATATACATATCCTCTTTTATTTATTATTGTTTAAAGAATAGATTGATATTGTTCAAACTTATAATTTAAATTAATCATAGTCGAATTTCGACCACTCGGCGTACATTAATTAATTATTTATACTAATACATAATTTAATTAGGTATACTAAATAAGATATGTCATCAATCACATAAGGCATAGTATGCTAAGTTTTACTGTTTTGAACTGTTCCACATGTAAGGAGGTTAATTTTATGTCAGAGCGAGTATTCAATACGTATCTGTTCCGAGTCATCGTCAAATATGAAAGGGACGCGCAAGTCGCATGCATAACAATCGAATGACTAACGTTTTTTGTCCCGTTACCGTTAGGACGTCGAAATCCACGAGTTGTCACCTCACAGTCGAAAAGTAACCAATACACAACTATGAACAAATCGTCGAAACCAAGCGACATTCGATTTAAAAGACGGAAGTATAAAACTGTTATGAAATTTACTTATTATATTTCCCAGAGATCTTTTGCTTTAATAGATTGTTGGCGTTGATACTCAGTAGTAGTTAGGAGATTCGGAACGATAAGTTTTTCAGAGAATAGAATATAAAGGAATAACCTCAGTCCGCTTTTA